TTAATTTCAGCAGTTAAGGTTTAAACTTCATTCAGATTTTATTAATTACTTTCCACTTAAAAAGTTTAAGGGTTAAACATAATTGATTATATTGCAAATATTTAGAGCTGTTCTGAATAGGAGAAATATTAAATACTCCCATGACTGATATTGTGGCATTATCATATGTTGATAAAGATATAATTTTTAATAATAAAGAAATCATTTTATTTTTCTAATTTCAATTTTCTAGTCCGTATTTGTTACATTTAATGTTGGTATATATATTATTTTTGTGTTTCTGTTTCCAAAATTGTTATAGGTCAAATTGTAGAGCTTAATTGATTTGAATGATATGTTATGACTTTTTTGTTTACTTCAATATCTTATTTTTCGTAATGTATGGCTGTACCTGTACATGACAGAAGCATATACAATCTGCCGTCTTGTAGTGTTAATAATTACGTCTTTAAATAGGATTAAACTTTTGCCTTTTTGCATGTATCATTTTATTATGTAAATAAAGCTATACATTACACGATGATAAGGGAAGGAATCAGATTTGCTTCTTTATATATGCATTCATAATCTGTAGGAAGAATTATTTTGGGATACATGGATAGAGTGAATTTATTCATATATTTGCTTCAATTTATAGTTAGTAATTTTTGTCAAATATTTTACATACAGCAGGGTCTTTCAAATAGAATGGTCTGGAAACACGCTATGTAAACCCTTCTCCCTACAATTAAACATGTCTCAGTATAAATCGGTATAGTTTGCTATAAACAAATTATGTAAGTGTTCAAGAAAAGGGCGAATATTAAATACAAGAGCAAAAATGAAAATTTCAACGACATGATGTTATTTAAAAATCTTTAAACTTTTGAAAAAAGGATAAATATTTCAGGAAATGGTGTTTTTAAAGCCATATTTGTTAAAAAAACATAGACTGTTTGTTCAGAATATTTGCCGATTATCGGCGCCATTTTGAAAATGCACCAAATTAAACATCAAATATTTGCAAATAACATCGTGAAATATTATAATACTTTTACATGATACGATTTAATAACATCTTTTCTCTGTAAAATCAATTTCTATTTTGTCATTGAACAATATGAGCAGTAGATTTTTATCTTGACACCGGGAACGAAAAATTTCTAATATCATTGCAAATCTATAAAATTGTTACTTTTAAAGTAAAACCTGATAATATAATGTAGTCAGATTTAGTTTTTAGTAATTTTTTGATTGATTTAACAAAACATTATCTTATAATTTAATTTTTGAATGGTGATGTTCTATGCCATATCAGGGTCGGTAGATAACCCAATCACGTGACTCAACCGAGACAGCATTTTTCGTAAAATTGGTCGGTCTCCAGACCACTCTATTTGAAAGACTCTATTTGAAAGACCCTGCATATAGTAATATTGTAAAGTCTTAAGCCACCCATACACAATTTGGGTTGAAAGAAAATATTGTAACATACCAGATATGTAGTATGTAAATATATTATAGACCATGTGATTCTGATATAGTTTTGATATTCTTACAGATGAAACATTATACAAGGATGTAAATTTTCGCAAGGATTTTTTTCATATGTGGACAGACCAACTTTTAGACTAGACCTTCAAGTAGTGAAGACTGAACTTAACTCAAATTTTGGTTGGTTTTGGTACAACTGACTGTAACTTTATTATGTCTTCATACCTGGACAGAACAATCTTTAGGACAAGATCTCAAAGAAGGTTGATCTTGACACATAAATGACATTGACCTTTAAGGTCAAATATTTGGATTTTGTCATCTGTACATGACCTTGTGTCTAAGGGTTAAATATGAAATGCCTTTTTTTTTCAAAAACGTCCACTACAATGTTCTTTCTTTGATGTTTATTTTCCTTTAGAAAAAGATAGTAGGGAGTGTAGCACTACTCTAAGATAGTTCTTGCTGTTATTTGTAAATATCATTGTCAATTTAAATAGATTTGTGCAGCAAAACATTGATAAGAAATCATCCTGTAATTGTGAATGAGTGGCTACAAGATTTTACTGTAGTTAGAACCTCAAACATTCCATGATATTTACATTGATATATAAATATGTACATGACATATACCATTTCATTGTTAGGCTTTTGTACAGTGTAGGTATTGTGTTCTTTGTAATAAGAATGATTAAACATTTCCCAATTTTTCCAATTATTACTTTACCATTTTCTCAGATTTTCTGAAGAAGAATAAACAAGAGACAAAGAGGTGATTTGTGAATCATTAGATCAATGCAATATCACATTATAAAATTATATGTACAGTTTTCATTATTCTTTTAGTATTGATGACAAAATTCACATTTTTTCTTTTTTCCATTTGCAATATTTTGATACTGAAACGAGAATGAAAAAAAAAATATGTGCTTAAGACTGCTTCAGCTTGTTATATATCTCGCACCTGATGCTTTCTGTTATTTATGTAATATACATTTAGATGCCATTTATCACACAATGTTCTAGTTATTGAAATGAAACCTTGTTTTAGAAAGCACTCTGGAAACAATTAATGAATTACTATCTATTTCACAAAGTTTATCAACCTCCAATATTTCAAGGGGTTAAAACCCTCTTTAGCAAGGAGTTTGCTGTTTATTTTCTAAACCACATATTATTTTCTTTTTTCTTACATTATGTTTTCTACAAATCAATCAAACCTTGTTTTACATGTAATTAATTTACTTTATGATATTGACAGTTAATTATTAAGGCTACATTTAAATTAAATATATCACTATGTATCAAAATTGATATTTACTATTATATTAACCAAGGGAAATAACTTGTGACAGTGCAATAGATTTGTATGTAAGAGAAGAATATTAACTTCATACCTATTTCTTGGTTGTTCTTTTTACTATTGTTGATATTGTAATAATTATATCTTTGTATGTACAATGTATAAATGGGGAAATAGTAATAATTTGTGATTCTATATATGGTAGTTTTTTTTCTTCTTCAGAAATTGTGTTTTCAATGATATATGTTTTTATATGTGTATGTGTATATATATGTGTAAAGAAATAAGAATGTATAGATGTTTTATATATCGTTTAAAACATATATTAAGCATTAATATTTGAAAGATTCTTTTGCTCGTTCTATGTTCTGTACCATTTCTACAAATCACAAAAAAATAAGTACTATAGTTTTGCTTTTTCTGTCAAATTTCTAGTTTAACTTTTCACTGTATTTGACATTGCATTCCTTATTTTTTTTTCCTTCATATAAGTGAAGTTTAAAAGGGAAACTGTTGAAAGTGAAATCAATATTAGCAGGTCACTATGTTGTTTATATTATATTTTGTTGTTATACTGTAAGGCAATACTTTATGCTTCATTATTGTTTATTTTTGTTTTGTTTACTATGCCTAGGCCAGTATAATCAGATTGTATAAACATTATAAATCTATCTTACTAAATTTGCATGGAACTATTTATATGAGGTGATAAATTTTTATTTTCCCTTAAAGCAAGCCTTCATAGAGGGATGTTTTGAACACTTCCTTATTTAAAAAAGTATTAAATAATGATAAAAAATAAAAACTGAATAACACTGTATAAGAACGTCTTGTTTCCGGCATTATTTAATTCATCTATTTATCAAATCTCATAGATATATAACTCAAAGATTATCTTTTAATTTTGTTAAAGAATTATATAAACATTTTTTTAAACTACATTTGACATTTTATGAAATCCATGACTTGATAATAAAAAGTGCTTGACTATTTAACACTGTCTCTTGCATAAAATTTCTAATTTATTGCTAACAATAGTTACAATATATACAAATGTATTTTTTTTAAATCTAACACTGTGTGTAGAACATTTTGACATTTTTGTTGTATGTATGTTTAATTGCACATGAGTAATACTGTTATATTAATTAGTCATTTAAGAAATTAAACAAAGAAATGTTATCAATAGTTATTTTTCTATAACATCCTTATTATCAGCAGAGCTTCCTCTTTCGGATGTATATGATAAATCAATCTCTCTTTACTTCCTAGCTTGTGCATGTCGCCGATCTCTACCAAGTTGTATTAGTCATGCCCATGGGGTCCCAAGTTGTATTAGTCATGCCCATGGGGTCAAAAATGGCAACGCCCTGTAGTCACATAGTCTACATAGATTTGTATATAAAAAAATGTCTGAAAAAATTCTTCTGAAAGTACAGTGCCCAGAGCTTAGATATTTTGCATGTAACATCACTTTGTTGTTCTCTACAAAAGTTATATAAATAATGCCCCTCGGGGATTAATATCACGTAGGTGAAATGTCTTTTTTAAAGAAAAAAAACTCAAAACAGTTTTTTTCCGTTTTCTACAATGAGCTCTTACGGAGGATGTATGCGGTGCATAAAATGGCAGGGAGGGTTATTGTCCGCCTATAAAAATAACGGGAGGGACATTGTCTTCTGGATTGTCATCAATAAAATAACTGGGAGAGGAATCGTCCGGGATTTGCATTGTCTGGGATTTGTTGGTATAGGAAATTCACTTCTATATTTAGCATGTAAATACATGTATATGAGACGGGAAAAGAGATGTGATGTCACAAAATTAAAATCTACCATCTAGGAAAATAACCAAGATGAACAACCTTTTTGTATTCGCTTCAAAAGTGGAAGAAAATGCCAAAAAATATTGCAATTATAAGAAAGGGTAATATAATGATATCAAACATCATTCATTACCTAGGAAGTCTCTGTTGATATCCAGATGTTGCCTGAATTATTTAACAAGATTATAGAGTTAACGAAGACTATTGCTATGATGCTGATGACATGAACATCGTATTTGTTACCGAGCTATGTCATTTGATGTCACAGGTAGCAGTCTATGGCCACCATGACCCTCTTGCTTACATATTGAAAAAGACAAGACTAAAACATATGTTTAAAGATAGCACAATATTTTATTTCACAATATTTTGTTACTGAATGATTTGATAGACATACTTTCAAATTATTGACATAGAATACATATATATAATATATGTATATGACTTATGAAAGAACAATATTATTACAATATAAAAAGAAATACATGTAACTAACAGCACACAAATTTAACTAATTTATCTTTTTGGTGATTTAATTCTGTACGTACTTGAATTACATTTTGCTGGGTGACAAAATCTGAACCAGTCAACCAAAGCCTTACTTGTGACATTTATTTGATTTCTTACTTTATTTTTGCTTTATTATCCAGATTTTGACAAAAACTACATGTTAAGGTTGTAGTAAAAAAATCAAGCCTAGCAAGGCTAGCATAAGATTGTTGTTCTATCACGAAAAAGTGTATACTAGAGATGAGGACATGTATTAGGTAAGTTGGTTACAACAAAAGATTGTTAAATGTATGTTTTATATACAGATGGATATATGAGATAAAATGTATGTTTTATTTTTCAGTTACTTTATAGTATCCAAAAAGTACACAGGGTCTGTAGGGTCAGAGGAGACTCATATGAATGGTGATGGTGGCAAATATGCGTTTGCTTGTAATGGTTGCTCAGCCAGATTATTTATACACACAAAGTTTTTATAAACAAATGTATTTTAATGATGTTTGAACTAAACTGTGAATATATCATAAACGAATGCAATACAGTTCCCTTAATAAGATAATGAAGAAGTTAAATGTGAACATTTGTAATACATGAAACTAAATGTATAGACACAAAAGGCGATCAATAACTTCTTATGTAAAAATTGAATATGAAAGGAAAAATGTGTTCTGTTTGGTATTAAAGCACTTCAGTTTCTGAACTGTACATACTATTTAGTGTATTCGTTCAACTCTGTTTTTTCTTATGTTTCTAACTCAAATGCGTTATGTTGTCAACAGCAGATAAATTTGACAATATGAAGTGAAGTGTTCAGCTATTTGGTTTGAAAAAATGATAAAACACAAGGTAAAGTTTTGTTGAAATACACGTTAAAAACAGTTTATATTTTGGAGTATAATTATATTATTGCATATCATTATGAAAATTTAATATGCTTTGAAAGCTCACATACTCATTTAAAAGTAGATTTGTATACTTATAAAACATGTAAGTAAGAAACAGTTCCTATGGACATTTTATTTACAGGATCTTTATCGAATTTCACATAAACAAAAGATGCTGATATACACATTTTACATGAATCTAATGCTCACTTTGTGCATTTTTGACTAGAACATTAGTGCCATCATTTTCATTTTTGCAGATTGGGTAAAAGTTGTCTTCTAACTTATCATTGATAAGTTGGTTTGGACAAACGATGATTATTTTGTGCAGCACTTCACAGCAGGCGACAGTTTTTTACAGGTTTTTTCTGGGAGACTGTTCTCTTGTCCTGACTTTTGCAATGTCTTTGGATTAATTGATATTTCTGCTCTTGTCTGTGTATTATTTTCTGATATTTCTGTGTAGTTTTTGTCATCTATGTTTAGTGGATCTGTAGTTATACTTAAACCAAGCTGATTATACTTGATACAAGCTGATTATACTTGATACAAGCTGATTATACTTAATACAAGCTGATTATACTTGATGCAAGCTGATTATAAAATGATTATGTACAGGTTGGCACTCCATCATTACTTGTGTGTTCAAAAGTACCTGTTATTGCACCCCTTGCTGCTTCATTTACTTTTGTCAGATGACTTTGGTCGTTCTGTTGTATTTTCTTAATTCCGTTTTATATGCAACATTTCCAACAATGTCTTCCTGAATGAGGAAGAAGTTAAAATGTACAGGAAAAAATTGATGCTGTAATTGATTTGTTCTAAACGTTGTGAAGTTTCCCGAAACACAAAGATAGAATATGTGTTCTCAATTTTCTTTGTATCGATAAATATTTGCTGGAAAACAGTAATTGGTGTCACACATATGATAAAAGCTGCCACAACTGAAATGAGAACAGTTGTTGTCCGAATTAGTTCTTTCAGTTCCTGTCGTTCTTTCCATGTCACTGTTTTATTTGTGAGAGTTTTCTTATACTGATATCGTTTGTACAGTTGTATTATAATGATTGGTGTTAGCCCTGACATGAGAAATATTGGTCCTACAGAATAAAGTATAATCTCAATCAACAAAAGTATTCGAAACATATGTTTCTCTTTGGTTACAATAGCGTCCATCTTACAAATCATGTTGCCAGTGGCTGTTGAAAAACTCATTATTATGGCGAAGCCGGTCATGGTAAGGTAGACAACAATGATGTAGACCTTTGTCCTCATTTCAGTAATGACGATTTTAACTTTGAGGGGAAACTTGACAGCTACAAACCTCTCAATGCAGAGAAATACGATAAACCATGATGATGTCATTTTTGAAGTACGATAGAAAATATAGAATATCTTGCATCCTATATCAGAAAATGCCCTAACATCAAGTTTAAAGAGATCTTGAAGAAAATCTTTGTTGAATGTTTGAGTGCAAAGCATGACCGTGTCAGATACTGCTAATGCTATCAATATATATCTGGAGGTTACGTTTTTCCATTTCTTATAGATAAGTACACCTATTGTGAGACTGTTGCCAACCAATCCAACAGCTAGAAATATACTATGAAGAATGATCTCAATGTTGTACATTGCTTTTTTCTCATCTTCCCAATCTATAGATGACATTGGAGAATTCCCGATTGGTTTTACATCATCCATTGTGGTAGTGACGTTTTGCAAGGTTGTCTCACTTTCATTAGACCAAGTCTGATTCAGCAAAGTTGCATTCATTTTCCTTTATGAAATAAAAAAGTTTTATAATTAAAAACAATAGTGATCAGTGATCAAATGTGTCGCCTGGTGATAGCCAAATAAGAAGTTGTATTGAGGGGTGGTTGGACCGTTTGTTCCTTATGTGTCGTGGGTACATTTTAGCTTGTTGGAACTTCTGTTAAGCAGGAGACACACAAATCAGTAACAGGACAAAAGGAAATTTTATCCGAGGGTCATAACAGGCCAAAAGGAAATTTTATCCGAGGGTCAAAACTCAGCCCGGATATCCCGTTAAATATGCGCAAGTATACTTGAGGTACCAATTAATCAATCCTGTAAATTAGGTATCACTCAAAATTGATTAGTATTATAAGAGAAGTAGCCCGCAAAACACTTAAAATAATTTAAGGGCTCTAACTCATAAAAAATTTGAATGGAAAAGGGTGACGATATGCATAACTGAACTTGGTACTGATTATATTATTCCTATAAAGTTTGGATAAAATTGCACTAGCAGTTTTTGAGCAGTAGTCCGGACAAGTTTTGTGACAGATGGATGGGCAGACGACAGAGAAATGATCCCTATATGCCACCGCTACTCTGTATAGGCGACACATAAATTAACAGCATGGATTGAACTTAATCACAAAAGAGCCGAATGTTGCATACTCTACAGTGTTTTGTCTGAACCATTCAATATTAAAAGGGGAGTACGACAAGGATGTTTATTATCACCTTATATATTTATCTTAGCAATTGTATATACATGTACATGTATAACTGTCGATAGTTATAAAAAACAGAAATATTGAAAGTTTTAAAAAATTTGGTGTAGAAGTGAAAATATCACATTTGCAACTTTACTATCAAATGGTAAATGAAGAAACCATGTTCATATTTGAACAATTTTCTTTTATTTTTGGTCTTAAAACCTAATTCTCAGAATAGGCTTACTTAATAAACAACATGATCCAATTTACTATAGAAAAAAAAATACAAATATAATTTGAACATCCGAAAGTGCAGAAAAATAAGTCATTACGTTGCATTAAAATTGTGACTTAATTACGAGCATAAATTAAATCTATTTAAAGCAGATATAAATAGATGGAGAGCAAGACATCTGACACCAATTGGTATTATTTCCGTCTTGAAGTCCTTAATTATCTCAAAACTAACCTTAATAATAACTGCCCTACCGAGTCCACCAGAAAAAAAAATATGAAAACAATTACAAACAACTGTTTTGAATTTATATGGCGCTCAAAAAGGGACAAAGTTAAAAGGGATGTAATTATACAAGACTTTGAATATGGAGGATATAATATGAAAGACTTGCCAAATTTTATTTTCTCTATAAAATCAAGCTGGATCAAAAGAATATTTGATTAAAATAACCATGGACTGTGGAAAGAAATAATGAAGAAAAATTTACAAAAAGGTGGAATCTAGTTATCTTAAAGTAATTTAAACACAAAGGATATACAGCAATTAAAAAACTCAAAATAAATTTCTAATGTCTTGGATTAAAATAGATTTTTACATGTAACAAAAAAAATCACATGATTTGTTTGACCAAATAATATGGCAATATTCATATATACAAATAATGGATCTTTAATTTTTTTCCAAAAAAAAATGGAATATTATCAAAATAGAATATATTTTAGCACTGAAACAAAACAAATTAAATCGTAAAACTTTTGACCAGCTGAAAATTACTTTTAACATTCCTGATACAGAAATGTTTAACTTTTACAAACTAACTTCAACAATACCCAAGGAATGGAATCGTAAACAACAAAAAAGTAACAAAACTTTAACGCCTGCAGAAATAAGCACATTTGATATTGTAAAACCATGAAAATACTACCTATACACGTATACTAGAAAATTAAAGAAGCAAACTCTATACATTAGTTTCTTTAAAAGGAAGCTGTTAAAAAGATATAAAATAAAAAAAACAACAACAACTATTGTCATGTGAGAATTTGTACCTATTGCTACATGTATGTAATTTACATAACATATTAAATTTCATGTAATCGATAGTTTATATAAATATTCTGCTTAATGAATATGCTTATTTAAAATTTTGTGTGACTTTTCTATGTATAATTTACTGTCATGATGGTAAAAATAATGCGTGTAAGACTAATATATGTGTGTTGGAGATAAAAAATCTATGCAATAATTTTAAGAATCCATTTCAATGAGTTAGAATGAAAAAAATATAGGTGTCGGATATTTATTGAATGAATCAAACTTCGATATAGACTCCATATGCTAAAGCAAATATTATAAGGCCAATATTATCAAGAGTGGAGTGAAACTATTTCAAATCGGCCAAAACTTACATTTTACAGTACATTTAAATCTGAATTTTGCTATGAAAAATATTTAGATGTAATAGAAAACTTCTCTTAGACAAACACTATCTCGATTTAGAATATCGTCACATAATTTAGAAATTGAAAAGTAGAATATTCATTGGAATCGATAGAAACTATCATATTTGTAAACTGTGTAGTAATAATGTTGAAAATGAATATCACTTTTTGCTTTGTTGTCCTTTTCATAGGGAATTACGTCTAAAATATTGTGAATATATTTTAATTTCTGTTGTGTAATAAAAATAAAAGAACTATTAGAAATGTTGCCAGATCTACTGCATGTGCTATGAAATCAAGAACTAAATTGCTTGCAAATATAGCCGCTCCTTAAAAATTTGTTAACAGCATCATTTATTTTGATAATTTAAAAAGAGATATATATTAACCAAATTCACATCTTATTGTTGTATATAATGTTGATGTATATGGTTTTTGTTTTGTTTTTGTTTTTCTCCTTTCTTTCATATTTTTATTTTTTACATACTATTAAATTGTATTGTATACATATTTATATTGTCTTGGCCATCTTATCTAATAAAATTGCAATTGGTCAAAGACATATTACATGCTGATTTTGCCAAATAAACTTGTATAAACTTGTATTTACATTTAATGTCTGAAGAAGAGAGCACCTGTTTCATTTCTAAATATCTTGTTTTAGATTACATATTTCATAAGTTTTATAAAAAAAATTTGCAATTGCAAAAACTTATCTCAGTGCGTGTGGGTAAAAAATTAATAAATACTTATAATTCATTATAATTTTCTTACTTTGGTACATTATACAACCAGTGTAACAATTTTTTTTATCTTTTAAGTTTTAAAGTGTTCATATCTAGTTAATTATTCAAATAAAAAAAAAAAAACATTACTTACCGTATAAAGCTTGGAGACACAATTATTCAATGCAGCACATACAACGGTCCTGAGTTTATTGAGAATGTCTCACATTCATCATTTTATATCTTTTTAATCAGTGTATTCTATAATTAGTTCTAGCACATTTATTCAGGGATCAATTTTCATATAGTACATGATTCTTTAGTTTATGTAACAGATCACAGTGCTCACGTTCTCGAAGATCCCAAATCATAAATTCATACGAGGTATAAAGGTTCAATATTTCAGCCGCGTCACGACAAAACCAACATAGCGGGTTTGCGACCAGCATGGATCCAGACCAGCCTGCGCATCCGCGCAATCTGATCAGGATCCATGCTGTTCGCTAACCAACTCTATTACAAGTAGAGAAACTGATAGCGAACAGCATGGATCCTGATCAGACTGCGCGGATGCGCAGGCTGGTCTGGGTCCATGCTGGTTGCAAACCAACTATGTTGGTTTTGTCGTGACACGGCTCATTTCATATTTAATACATTGTATTTGATATTACAAGATTTCTACTAATCCGAGTTTCAGCATCAGTAAAATCATTATCTTTCGTGGGTTCATGTCTTCGTAAACTGATGCCGTATTTTTTTTACAACGATAGGATCGACGTATGTTATGAAATTAAGAAATCTTGTTTTTGACCAGCACATTTATTTTTACAACATAAAATATTTACATAAATGTAACAGAGTAAAATGATGGTTATATTTTCTATAGTTACATCTATGGCAGATTTAAAGTTTCATGTCGTTATTCAAAGCATCTTCTGAATCAAAGGATCACATTTTTAGGATTTGAAGTCTATTGACAAAATTATATGATGCACATAATCTCGTATTGTCATTTATCTTTGCTCAATCAAATAAAACAGAACCGTCATATTTGTGAAGAATTGGGCCAGACTGTTTTTGTGTGTTTTATACCATTTTACAAGCATAGCATGGTTTAGAGAACCTTATTGCTTGGTTTTAACATACATTATTCGATATATTTACATTTTGCATGATGCACTTTATTTTGGGATTGGGCAGAAAGTTATGAAAGCTTATGAGTATCCTCTACTAAAATTGTTGTTTGAACTTTGTTGTTATCTATAGAATGACTTAGTATCACTTGTATCTTTAAAAGTTATTATTCTATGCTTTCTTTATTATTCTAAACTAATGTAGAGAAATTGGTTATATGCTTTATTTGCCAAGAATCGTGATTTAAACCTTACTCAAATTAGAAGAATGACCTGTGATGACGTCGGGAATATACATGGAAACCATTAGATAACCGTATTTAACACTAAAATTGATTTTCATGATTTCTGTTAATATTATTTCCAAATATTGAACTTATTTTATATTAGTATCATCTGCAGTTACAATTTATTTTTCCTTGAGCCGTGGCAGTGATGTGTAAAAAATTAATCAAATCTCGTGATTTCAAGAGCTATCTGATCAAGACTGGTCTATTTATTGTGTTTTAGTGATGGCAACAGGTAACCGTTTAATTGAGTACCCACTTGATTAACGTTATAATATCGGTTTACTGAATGGTTACTCGAGAACTCTCGAAACGATGTGATGCAATATCTTTAGATACATATATAATTATAGTGCAATAAAACAAGATAGATCTATATATCTTCAGCAGATATATTTTAAACTTGTTAAATTTAATCAAAATAACTACTGAGGCTGAGGTGCAAATATTTTATAGCAAATTGACAATGGTTAACAATGACAGGTAACCAAGTTTGGCAGGTCTATCCTGCTTATGCAATCTAATTTACCAAAAAGTGTTGATTAAATTTGTTATGTGTTATTTAATAATATCTTATATAAACCGCTTGTGGTCTAATTCCTTTCAAAAAGATCATATTAAAGTAATTAATTCTACGCAAGTCGATGTTATTCTTAGTTATTATCAAGAAATATTCCTCACTTTCTTTCAAAATTACTATTGTTGTAAACATTATACAATGCTTTTAAAATCAAGATATAAATGTGACGTTTACACATTTCTAAAATAAGCTGGTTATGAAAGATTTCTAAGAGACAAAACGTCATACTTCCATATACACATCTCCCAAGTACGTCCTTCCACCCGGGCAAACATCAACTGGTTTTGAGTAATCTCAGTTGAAAAAGGAAATCCTATTTAAGTTGTTTTAATTAAGTGGTAATTTTTATTTGTCTATGAACTAAGAATGCCTAATAAACATCAAAGAAAAAGCTCATAAATTCGTTGTCAAGGCTTCCTTGAATATCTCTTAAACCACTGGTTTAATAAAATAAAGAAAAATTCTAGGAATGATCCTTGGGTGATCCTTTTTCAAAATTGTAAAAAAAATCATTCATTGCAGAACTTCATCATTTGTGTCAATGGCAGATGAAAGAAAAAAAAACATTTGAAAACCTGTCTTCTCCAAAGTTAAAGAATATGTGCGAGTGACAATTCTGCAGAGGGGATCTATTTCAGGGCTGGTATTGTATCCGGCTCATTAACATATTTCGTGAACCCCAACCGGAACTGTTTGCCAAAAACAACTAAATATAGATATCTACCTTCTCTAAAGTCCACGACATTGCTTGAAAAACCTGCCCGGGAAGAGAACTTACATCCCATTTCAAATCAGACAGTGGTTATTCGTACAGGAAGTATAATGATCAGCCTTACTGTTGTTCTGCAGATCTTAATTAGATGAATGTTCGACCAAATTTTAATAATTATATATCCATAAAGCGGTAATAATTTATATAAAACTGACATATATATCCATAAAGCGGTACAAAAAATATAAAACTGACATGAAATGGAATGAAACTAATGTCAACTTGAACAATATCGTCATGTAGGCACATCATCCATACATGATATTGTGTTATGAGTCTTTGTTTTTCTTTATCTTTTGAACCCTATAGCGCTCTGAATGAAGTCACTCTTTTTCTATGTTTAATTGATGCCATGGTTTATCATTAAATATCCCATTATTCCTATCAGGATATAAGAATCAACAAGAGGTATAACGTATTACATATAGTCAGAGTCAGTAGCATTTATCATTTGACACAAGGTAAATCCCTAAATCTTCCATATAAATGAGATTTTAGTAAAAGAATTAAAAATTTTAAGGATGAATAAAAGAACTCACATAATTCAATATTCTTTTTTTATTTAATACTTTCTGAGTAGCAAAACCTAATTACCTAATTAAAATAGCAATATTCAACAAATGATTAAAACACATAATGCACCAATATTAGCACATATAGTCTAAATGGAATATTGACTGTTAAGTTCTCGGCAAAACAATTACGTTTCATTTAATCATCAGGCAACATAAACAATATCTAAATAAAAATAACCAATACATCATCATTATTACCATCATCATAAACATCTTCATTCTTATAATAAAACTTTCTTTTAATAAAAATGTATAATGCCCCTTCAAGCTCATATTCTTTACTAAATACCTGACTATTTAAACATTACTCATTAACTTGCCTTTAGCACCATTCTGTGATGATGAATATTATAACACCAAACTATCAAAAAAAAAATCCTAATTCCATATTTACAAAGCATCTGTTTTACCAAAATAAAATGTAACACAAAATTGGTCAATATTTAAAAACCCAACAAAATCAAACAAACCAAAAAAACACATGTTATAAAAGTTGGTTATTTGAAAACTGTTGTAGCAATATTATCCAAACGTGTGTTACTTCACTCAATAGTCAGACACATTATTTAAAAACTGCCTAGACGACTGCTTTCAAATCTGTAGTAATACCCTACATATAAACAAAGTAAAAATAAGTACACCCAAAAGTTTGTGATAATTAACATTGAACGGATAAATGGAAAAGAAAATATCGTTTGGCAAACCCACACAAGAAAATTTGACAATCCGCTTTTTTTTTTAATAGAGAAGCATATACATAAACATATCACATATATAACAAAATGTATAACACACATTAACAAGAGCTCACATTAGGACAGAATGCTTGACTATTCTCGATGTTTGATAGTTAAACAAGAGCCTGGATAATGTAGAATTTTTTAAGTTCAAAAAGGGCCATAACTCTATCAAAATTCACTTTTCTAAGTTCAACTAGAAATGTGTCCATAGGACACGGATGCCCCCACATGCCACTGTTCTGTCAATCTAATGACTCTAGGTCAAGTATTTTTTGGACTACATGTGCCACAAGTTGAAAACTAAAAATCAACAAAGGGCCATAATTCTGTTAAATTTGGTCGCAGCAACAATTACTTCCTTTACTACCATCTGCACATTAAGGTTGTTCATGCCTGGAACTGTAAGCAAAATCTGCCATCCGGTTTAAGAGGAGTTGCGTTCACAAAATTTCAACATAGTATATAGTGAAAAAATCAACAAAGGGCCATAATTCTGTTAAATTTGGTCGCAGCAAAAATTCCTTTCTTTACTACCATCTGCACATTAAGGTTGTTCATCCCTGAAAGTTTAAGCAAAATCTGCCATCGGGTTTAAGAGGAGTTGCGTTCACAAAATTTCTACATAGTATATAGTGAAAAAATCAACAAAGGGCCATAATTCTGTTAAATTTGGTCGCAGCAAAAATTCCTTCCTTTACAACCATCTACACATTAAGGTTGTTCATCCCTGGAAGTTTAAGCAAAATCTGCCATCCGGTTTAAGAGGAGTTGCGTTCACAAAATTTCTACATAGTATATAGTGAAAATATCAACAAAGGGCCATAATTCTGTTAAACTTGGTCACAGCAAAAATTCCTTCCTTTACTACCATTTACACATTAAGGTTGTTCATCCCTGGAAGTTTAAGCAAAATCTGCCATCCGGTTTAAGAGGAGTTGCGTTCACAAGATTTCGGGACGTATGGACGTTCTTACCAGAGCTACATTATGGGGTTTTCTTTTGTTATTTCTTTTGTTCTTTTTAACCCCACAATGCAGAAAATAACCCCACAAGAGAAACGGAATGAATGACATCAAAGACATCTATTGTTATGAGTTCAATAGACCAAACCCCATAATGTAGCTCTGGTTTGTACGGACAGACGGACGGACGGACGGACAAGTGCAACACTATATGCTCCCACTATGTGGGGGCATAAAAAGGGCCATAATTCTATCAAAATTCACGTAACAGTTATGGGCCTTGTAATGTGACCTCCTATTATGCTCTAATGTAAGTGTGTGAAGTTTCAACCCATTCCCTCTAGTAGTTTTGGAGATTCCAACTTACATGCAAAAACTTAATCAGTGTTACATAGACACAATAATTAACAATAACTCTCCCTTCAAATAGTCAAGCTAAAAACCATTGCCTAATTCTTTCTGTCCTTAAGCACCAAACATTTCATCAGGATAGAGCTCAACAATGTAAAATACTGGCACACATTTTGTGGAAAACAACTAGCAGAACATGTGATGAATATATTAATAAAGCATGACATAAACACAACAACAATTAACAAAATTATGTAAAGAGAAAAAGTGTTAAAAATAGAACATAATATATAGCATTGATATATCACATAACAGATAGTAATATTCAGTAAAAATATCATTAATCTCAGTGTAACTGTAGCAAGAGCACAATGAAATAATGTAGCACTTTTATGCTATTCAAGTTAGTAACAGTCATAGTTACTTGTTTAAAATAATTATGAAAAAAAGCTTTATGTATCACAAACTAATTAAGTCAATGAAAATAATAATCAATAGCCACAGAGAGCAAAGACAACAAAAGCTGTCACGCAAAAGTGACAAATGCCCCCAAAAAGATTTCATAAGTATTGCAGAAAGGTATCATGAAAAGAAAAGAGAATAAAAGTCACTAATTGCTTAATATTGCTCTTGTAAAATGAAGTACTATTCATAACAAACTAACTACCTTGACCTTAGAGGTAGGGACATGGATCGTGAATGTGACATGTTGTCTTGATGTGGTAGACATATATGCTACATTATTGAAAAATCCCTCCAAAGTTACAGTCTGGACACAAATGTGTATGCCTTTAAAGAATGTGAACCTTCAGACTGTGTGACCTTGACCTTTGAGGTAGGGACATAGGTCTTATATGGGACACATCATTATGATGAAGTGACACATTATCATGATGTAGTAGACATTTTTGCAAAGTTATTATAAAATCTTTTAATGCATTACAAAGTTACAATCTGGACACCAATATTGTGACGCTTAAGACAGTGCGTTTTAGGGGCATCAAAAACACCAACAATGACATTTATTAGACTTTCAAGCAGACAAGCAAGTGGAATGGCAAAGGTTTCTTGTTATATGAATGGAATCATGAGAAAGAGTAAAGCATGTATTACACTTTGAGGTAAAATGGGCATTACCGGTATGTAAAGTGGGTTGCTGCCTTGTTTAATACTAGCATCATAATATTGTGACATCTGACAAAAACAATAGTTTCAACACAGAAAATACTGATGTATAATCTTGAATAAATGTTGCAAAACTTGGTAAAATCAGTGGAAACTTGTGATTATCAATGAGACTGATGAGCTTTACTAGTGGCTTTGTATCTTTTATATTGTATCACATTGCAGTGAATACACCCATGAATAGACAATACATATGAGCCGCGTCATGACAAAACCAACATAATGGGTTTGCGATCAGCATGGATCCAGACCAGCCTGCGCATCCACACAGTCTGATCAGGATCCATGCTGTTCGCTATCAGTTTCTCTACGTCATGACGCAGCTCATATAATAATACAGCAAGTTTGTAACATAGACTTTCATTGGACAGTGAGTCATGAAATTTATATCATTTATACACACTGCTGCTTTAAATAATTCGGTAAAGCAGATGTTCAGTATTACATATCAGATTTAATAGCTATGTATAAATTGTCTTTTCCTATGGCTAAACAGCATATTTAATTAAAGCTTAAAGTCAATTGTGTTTGGCCATATAAAATTGTCTAAAAAATATGTATATTCATAACAAACAATAAACCTGAGGTTTGTGAGTTTTGTTCAGTAAGCTTTATCAAAATAAACTGCTTTCTATTTTCTTATGTCTACAATATTATTATTGTGTTAGGTTTTAATCACACTGACAAATCAAGGTCATCTGACAACTTTCCAGCTCTACTGGTGGTAAAAGATTTCAGGTGTCACTTGATGTATTATTTTAGACAGAAGCTGGCACCAGAGAAGAACCACTAACATACTGTAAACTCGCTGGATAGCTTTTTCACATGAAAGAATTCAGAGCCCCAGGCGGGATTTAAACCCACAACAGAGATGGGCAAGTGGTAAAAAAGTCTATCAATTAATTTACTGGCACAAAACAAAATCAAATGTTGCAAGAAAATCATAATGACTAGAATTTACAAAGGTGATTCATATCTTTGGTGACATAGATTCAAACAACCAATGAATGGTTGCACAGTATTAACCTGACCAAATTTACACCTTACCAGTTTTATGATTATTTGTAACTTGACAAATGAACAATTTTCAGCATAAAGAAACAATTATAAGTAGCATACTTAAGCAAGCATCAACATTGTCTTGAATATCTATAATCACTCACTAAAAATCAATTCAATATTTTTTTTTTTCTTGTTTGGTTTAACAGCGCACCAAAACAATTTAGATGATATGGTGCCGATTTTAGCAAAAAAACAAACAAATAATTTCTAGTACAAATAAAATACATGCATTTGCTAATAAAACAAATCCATAAAAATTCATCATTTGTAAACATGTAGCACAACAATGACAACATATATTTGCATCAAACACATTTACTATACATGTTAATACTGATTAAAACATTTGATTCATCAACCTCTGTTCTATTAGGATTTCACTTTCACAAGCTTTCAGTCAAAATTTACATTCCCACTTTCAAACATATTCATAACCACAGTGTTACACAGAGATCTACACATATTTTACAGAACTTGGAAATTTTTACCTTTATATAAAGGTAACTTTTAATGATCACATGTAAATATGACACAACACCAGGTATATAAACATCTGATTCTATAACCTGTTTACATGAGTTTTTTGTTCTAATGGATACCAAAAATGATGTAGAATAAAACTGGAACCAATTAATTAAATCATCTAACTAAACTACTGCTACATAGGTACTAATTATTATGTAAATAAAACTAAAATTTCTATCAAATGGAAACTAAATATGATGTTTAAAGGAATAAATCTCACCACTTCTATATCAAATGCCCTTGACTATGTGGAGTTCCTTCCAATGTGCAAATATGAAATTTAGCTTTGTAATGAACACATACAAATATTCTTATTTAAGTCATTATATTCCACAATTTTTTACCTTACAATACCATATTCTGAGTAGTGTTTAGAAGTTTGTTTCGTCTTTTCTTTAATTGTTGTAGCATTTTCATGTAAGTGAAACATTGTGTGTTTTACACTTTATTTTGATCAGTTTATACAGGAGCAACAACAAGATTTTCTGTAGACTTGCTAGGTTGAATTGTAACATCTGTATCAAGTTTCTCAAGGTCATAGAGAACATCTAACACACAGGACACACTCCATGCCTGAGCAGGACAACAAAACTTGTTGGGCTGAAAATATAACAGACCTCAATATATATAAAAATACATTCAGATTTATTGACAAAAATATTTAACAAAATTCAAATGTATTCCAATTTATTAAATAGATTACATATAAACAGTTGAAAATCTTGCAAAACCACCTAATGTAATATATATTTATATTACATTGAAAATACTGTCATAAGGTATTCAATTTTTAAATAAAATATTTACAATCTCTGGACTTCCTATAGTTACTGTTACATTTTAATTTTTTTTTCACAAAGAAAACCCCAAAACATTTCTTATTTTGCCTCACCAAGTTTTATGATTTTCCTTCTATTCTATAACTCACTACAATGTTGGAGCAGTACCTAAAGGTGCTTGCAGAAATCATTTTACTTGTAAGAAAATATTGACTGATTTTTTTTATATTTTTCATTCATTAGATGTCTTAAAGAGCATTTCGGTGGATGAAAAGTAGTGATGGAAATCGGATGAAATTTGTCCCAATCGATCATCGGTTCAATCGGATGGGACATAATCGATTACTTTCCGATTAAAGTCGCGTTAAAAAGAAATAGGGAAGAAACATTTTTTCCCAAGGCACTTGATTATATTCAGTAATATGAACTTCATTTAGCACTTTTCAACACAGTTTTAACCCTATTTAGTTATTATTTTACGAAATAGATTTAATTTTCCAATGGATGTCAAATAATAACATTCACATCACATTATATTACTATTGTTTACATCACGTATTGATCCTATTCAACTCCAAATTGTCTCTGAGATAATTTTTTTGCCATCGGCGAGGTGTTCCTAAAAGAAAATTACCGTCAGAATTAATTCGTTTTGATACTTTAAACATTTTCGACGACGTCGCGGAACAATTTTTTGTGAATCGATTATTGTCGCTTTACATAACAGTAACTGATTATCAGCGACTTGCGACAATCGGAACATCACTAATGAAAAGGCATGATTTTATCATTTAATCATCAAAGCGCCTTGTTCTGGTATATACCGGAACAAGGTATTACATGTGGTGCTCCAACACTGTTTTAAGTCTCATTCCATTTTATAACCTACCTCTGCGTTGTGATTCGTGAGTTCCGGTAAGGATCTCCAGCTAGATTTCATCACCTCTTCATAGTGACGTGTCAATGTACTCCTTATAAACATTACAGTCTCTCGTAGAATTCCTGGCCTTGATGATTCTAATTTCCTAGCAAAAATTAACTTTGCTCTAAGGAAATATCCAATGGGCCATACCCATTCCTAATAAAATACAACAAATGTTTTAATCAATTGAATATAACATTATTTGCCAATACATAATACAATTGAGTAAATTTGATACTGTTAATGGATAATTGACATCAGAAATATTAAATTTGGTCCTAAAATGTTGGAAACAAAAAGGTAAATGACCTGCTAATATTGAGGTTCTTTATCTTGAAGAGATTTAATTGCAAAAGGAATCTCAATACATTAAAAGACTGGAACACAATTGTTAAAGTGAATTATTAATTATCATGTAATCAAGGAACATTTACAAGAGTTGCATGTTAGACTGTCATTTATAGTAAAACTTGTGCCTGTGTAATGTTGGGACTCATGATGTGAGTATTTTATTCAAAATTTAAGACAGAGATGTAAGTTTTGGACAATCTTGGAGACAATTGTGAAGTTTTCAGATTAAAGCTTCAGTACATGTTAAGATAATCATCAACAGGCAACTTTAACCAAGAATAACAGTGATCACAAATAGCTCTAATTTAGTCAAAATCCATAATAAAGTTATAGGTACCTGGAAACAAACTTTACTTGAACAACAAAAAGCCCAAAGCCATGTGAAAAGTTTAATGGTTGATAAGACATGAATCTTTGACTAATTTTTAAAACCATACTGAAGTACATGTTTGTAAGAAAGTCCAAATACTCTTCAAATAGTCAAGCATAAAAATTTTCAAAATATAAACATTTTGATATAATTTTTTTGTATCCCCACTTACTATATGTATTGTAATTAACAACAAAAAATTCTTTCAGAATTTAATGTAACTTATTCTCAATGCATTCTGTATGAAATTGAAACTATAGCTTACTGGTCCTTGATGATAACTAAATCCTTTGGCAATCTTAGCATCCTCTGAATCATTTGCATTGTCATAGAATGGTACATAGCTCCAGTCACTGATACAATAAATAACATGAGTTATAATACAGGTCATATAATGTACACAAGGTTATATCTTATCAGCATTATGAAGGTAATGAATAATACCTGAACATCCAGATTTTAATGATAAATTACTGTTTACATGATTAAGCTTTTAAACAAAATAATGAAATCATATAATGAATTTGAAAATGTAGATATGCAAATAATTGTTAAAAGTAAAAATGCAATGATAAAAAACAACAACAAAAACAACAAAAGGTGAAAATCAAAGATTCAATTTCGTGGATACTATTCACACAAGACAAAATAAAGTAACATATCTTAATATACTTCATGCCCTTTGGCACAAGCTGAAGTAGTAATTGATATATGGCTATGAAATATTGGATTTAATGATAGATACATGTACTTAAGTATTAGTAAGATAAACAACATCACTGATAAGTTATACCTTGGATCTAATGTTTTCATTCCAAGTGGGCCAAGTAAATTATCTTGCGCAGTCTGCAAGGCAGTCCAAGCTCTCTCTGGTGTAAACAATTCAGGTGCCTGGAAATACACAACAATATTCCCTTCACTAATCAAAGTAGCTAGAATGTCATCAAATGCAAATATATTGTATATTACAAAAACTCAGTTTTCTGTCATACAGTCTGCAGTTCTACATTTCAAAATTCTTCACTTTGAAACAATAAAACTGTCAACTTTTTAACTCTCCGGTGTAAAGGACAAAGATAAATAAATGTAAGTTTCCAGTAAATAACGTGTAATATTTCAATTATACAGTACTCAGACTTTCTACTTACCACAACCATTGAGATAGGATAGTTAGGTCTAAGTTGTGTATTTGTCCAGAACTGTGTGGCATTGTAAGTATCTTTGTATATTCCACGTCTGAATATCAACTCTGGGGCCTCTTCTGCAGGATCTGGCTCAGTGTTCACCCAGAAACACCGCTCAAAGTTAGCACACAGCAGTTCATGCCAGGCTTTAAATGTCATCAACTCTTCACTTCCTAAAAAATATGTAGTCAAACAAAACATTCATTCAAATAATTCTTCCAATTTTAATGAAGTGTTTCAACATTACAGTCAAAACTGTCTTAAGCTGCCAGTCAAGGGATGCAGTCATTTTGGCTGCTTAAGACAGGTGGCTGCTGAATGGAGGATCCAGTTTTTATCCAAATAAATTATTCATTTCTTTGTAAAATAAATCTGATTTAAGTATAAATAAACCAGTCTGATTCAACATCATCATCATCATCATCAGTTTTTAACCATTTACAAACGTATGCTTTTAATTGTTTAACATGTACACAATCCTTCCAACATATAAAGCTTTACATGAATGTAACACAGGTAAACAAATGCACTCGCGATTTATTATGTCAATAATTGAAACTAATTATCCCATTAAAATATCTTCTTGCGCAATTATTTAAAATGCATAATATTTTCTTCACAAAAAAAAGTATGACAGTTCTTTTTCTAACTATATTGTGTACACGGCATCTAAGTACCAGCACTTCCTTTGATGTTTCGGATTGAAACAGCAGGGCTACAGGTTTGTAAACATCAAAGATTCTTTTGAAGAGCCCACTAGTTACCTCTTAGAGGTCATCTAGTGTGTAAACTTAATGGGTGTGATTTAACAATGACCACATTATATTTATGTAATTTTTTTTTCACACATGGAGCATGAATTTATTACTGAGGAATTTAGACAATGGGCGATGTAATTCATTTTCATTTCTTTGGTGAGTACCATGTACGCACAAAATTTATCTGAATCGGGACAAACTGATAAAAAGGAAAGAAATCAAAATATTTCTTTCTGCCATCGATAATGCATTTTTTCTTCTTTCTTTTTTCTTAAAATCGGTAAACTGAAAAATAAAAAACTAGCGTACAGTAACTCAAAAGCACAAATTGCAAGTGTGTTAAGACATTCCAAACGTTTGCAATTACGACATGGATGAGCAATTATGCAAACTTGAAATGTTGTGGTTTGTGTTAATATCTAGCACCTGACAAGTAGCTTATGTTAATCTGTGACAGGTGTCATCTTTGAAAATAAATGACAGAAGATTGTCTGGCCGTTTCACCTCGCTGACCGCTTAAGATGACCGAGTTTAAGATTCGGTAAGCATTTTAGGTGACCGTTGACCGCGGACAGCAGGTGACCATTGAACAGATGTATAAAATAGAGTGGTTTTTGTCTGGGGCGTCACAAAATGACCGTTAAGGTCAGGTTATTGCCGATAAGAGGTGACCGTTAGTACAGTTTCGACTGTATTTTTGTATTATATTTGAACCTAGTATTTCACAAAGTTCAAAAAGGTTTTAATTTACAGTCAAAATCCATAATAGACACAATTCTTATAGTGATATCATGTGACCTACAATTATAATTCTGTAGAGATGTGTGAAACCTCAGTAAATAATGCATGGGTGAGTAGGATAATATCTTTATTCTTCATATTCTCCAGTTAAACATGTTTTACAAAAGAATAATTTCCTGTTCATAATGACATTTATTAGTTTAGGGATTTCAGGATATTTTAATATAAGTAGTGATTATATAATATAAGTAGTATTTACATGGAATATCAAAATACTTCCACTGATTCAAATTTATACAAATGATCAAGGTTTCATTGGATGATAAATGACAGCCATTTTTCAAATAAAGCTGTATAATTTCTGTTTACACATTAATTTCAATATCGATATAAAACTAAACTTAACTTACCATGTTTAACCAGTTTTACACCACTATAAGGATATACTCCTTCCTCATTCAGATTATGTAGCCATAGCAAACATGAGGCTGACAGGCCTATCAATTCCACTGCAGAACCATCTCTGTTACATACAAAAATAACTTTGCTATTCTTTTATACATTCACCATAAAATAGGGGGGAGTATAGTCCCTTGTCTGTGTGTTTATGTTAGTGTTTGTGTTGAAAAAGTTTATACTTCTGCAGAATCTGGCATGCAAAATAGGATTTTAAAATAAATTAGTATAAAATATCACTACAAGAAGATAACATATCATGTGCAAGACCCAGATCCCAAGCTCAAATGTCAAGACCACAGCAGGGTATATTTCATTTAGTCCCGAGTGTAGCTGGTGATATGAATCAGGTCCATCACTTCTTCATGTATAATGGCATTTCAAAATTAATTGGTTAGCACACTAAACCAGCATCAGTAGACAATATGTCAAACACAAGACCCTCATCTTTAGCTCAAAGGCCAAGATCAAAGCAAGGAATTGAACTACTTGTATTTGTCATATAGTCTGAAGTGCTGTTAAAGTTGGTGTCCAGGGCCATTTGTTTCACATGCAAATAAAGTAGTACACTTTATAATCATAAGAAAAAGATATGTGGCAAAATGCAATCTTTAACCCAAAGGTCAAGGTCATAGCAAGGGATTGAACTTGGTGTTTGGTCTTAAAGTCTAAAGTGCAGATGAATTTGTGTCTGGTTCATAACTTCTGCATACATGATTGGATTTCATAAAAAAAACAATTGGTATGCACAATAAACATAAGCAGACAATATGCTTGACGCATGTCCACAACTCCAATGCCAAGATCACACTTAGTCAAATCCTGTACCAGTTATAACTATGTCATTACTTTTATACTGCTGAACGTAGGCCAGGCATCTGTGTCCTATGGATACAATTCTTATTCTATTCCATCTTTTACTACATGTATCAAAATTATTGTTTCATTAATTAACATATGAGTCATAGTAAATGAGTTTTGATATCATTCAGTGTGACAACAGAACACAATATTACTATCAAGAGCATTTCTACACTGAAATGTAAGACTAACATGCATAATTAGAACTACATTAAATATTTCCACTATACCTTGGCGTAGCAGGTTTTCCTTTAATTCCTGCTTTTTGTGAACTTCCCATTTTGTCCATCCAAGTTCCACAATTATGTTCATTGCCACCATATACAAACCCTGTCTCCCACTTCACACCAATCTCAAGGTTAAAGCCTAAAGAGACATCATAAACATGACTTTTTGATATATCAAACCTTTATTTATAAACAAGTATCTGAGTGGTAATGTATATATATTTATACAGATCTTGAGCAGTTAGCAAGCATCCACACCCAAACATGATAAACAATTCTAATACGAGTTTGTTACAAAGCAGTTATTCTGTTAAAGACATCACAAATATACATTCATAATATGTCATATATCAATAAAATTACAAGTAATAGATTCAGATAGAAATTTTAAACTTGAACAAGTATATCCTGCTAATCAAAGAACAAGTATCAAATACAAGGTATGTTCAAAAAGTCTGTGGACTGTGGCTCTACTGTTCAATTGTTTTAATTTGCTTACATGATTTTATAAGAGACAAATATCAGAACACCTCCTTAAGATACAGTGAAAAATCAATGCAATATATTAATATCAATTCTGTGAAAATTATAAATAACAAGGGGTACGCCACTGGCGCATGTTTATTTACATTATACAATAAATGATGTTTGTGACATCACAAAATTAATAAGCAATTATCATAGTATTGCAAGCAATCCATAAGTCCCCTACCGGTTAGAACCCCATCAACATTCTGAGGGGCCAATTTTGGCCATTCACTAATGTTTCAATTTTTCTCTATTTTAAGTAGATAAAATTTGTTGGAAAAGTTCTTTAAAAGTGATCACAGGAAACAGTTTTTATGAACAGACAGACAGATGGACTGAAGGACACTCTAAAGTTAATATTTGAAACATCCCTGTTACCAAAATATAACATTTTAAAAGCAAAATATTCTTAAAGAGGAGATAACTCTTGAATTAAAGATGCAATTTCATAAAAATTTTCAGCTCTTTTTGACTAATCACAAATATTGTTATATTTGCCATGTTTAAGCCTATTTGTTGCCAAGGCAACTGATATTTTTTCAAAATATGAAGAACAGATAAGTCATGCATAATCTCAAGACTGCTATTTACCCATATATCAAGTTTCATAAAAATATTTCCAGTACTTTTTGAGTTATCACTGGATTCAGTTTATGTGTAAAATTCGCCATATTTTCAGTCTATGTGTTGCCATAGCAACCAGAATTTTCAACATAAGAAGAAAAGAAAAAAACGTGCATAATCTCCAGACTGCCATCTACCCATATGTCATTTAGTTTCATAAAAATATTTCCAGTTCTTTTTGCGCTATCACTGGATCCAGTTTATGTGTAAAATTTGCCATATTTCAGCCTATCTGTTGCCATAGCAACCAGAATGTTCAACATAGGAAGAAAAGAAAAAGACGTGCATAATCTCAAGACTGCCATCTACCCATATGTCATTTAGTTTCATAAAAATATTTCCAGTTCTTTTTGCGCTATCACTGGATCCAGTTTATGTGTAAAATTTGCCATATTTCAGCCTATCTGTTGCCATAGCAACCAGAATGTTCAACATAGGAAGAAAAGAAAAAGACGTGCATAATCTCAAGACTGCCATCTACCCATATGTCAAGTTTCATAAAAATATTTCCAGTACTTTTTGCGTTATCACTGGATCCAGTTTATGTGTAAAATTTGCCATATTTTCAGCCTATTTGTTGCCATAGCAACCAGAAATTTCAACATAGGAAGAAAAGAAAAAAACGTGCATAATCTCCATACTGCCATCTATCCATATACCAAGTTTCATAAAAATATTTTCAGTACTTTTCAAGTTATCGCGGGATCCAGTTTTGTGGACGGACGGACTGACAGACAGACGGACGGACAGACGGACGGAGGGTAAACCTAAAGTCCCCTCCGGTAAACCGGTAGGGGACTAATAAAGGAAATATCACCAGTGTCATTGTTTCTCTCGAGTTTTCAATGTCTTCGTATTATGTAACCAAAACCAGTTTTCTGTATTTACGTTTGACAAAGGGAGAAAGAAAGAGGTTACCTACTGGCTCCATTCTCCACAAAGGTCCGAGAGCCACCCACTATCTGCTCTTAATCCATATTTCTGAGTAATCTCAACACACAAAGGTCTTAGTCTTATCAAGTGAATTAAGTTAGTAATTTATATTATCAATTTAAAAACGTCATTGTCAGATCTTTAAACAATACGATTATGTGCAGTAAAGAAAAATATTTTATCAATTGACAATTATTTTCTTCAGTATATCTATTTAACACGGGGTAGCATTTATTACCAAACAAAGCGGGGAAAATAAATTAATTACAAATAATAACTTTGTACTATTATTACATTAATTTTATTGGAAATTTGTATATATCCTGATAAATTAAAATAGAATATTGATTAAATTCAATTGTCCCCCTATATCTTCTTTATATGTGCAGAGATTTTAGCAGTGAATATAAGACAATGTAAAGATGTTAAAGGTATAATAATAGATGGTTAGGAATATAAAATTGCACAATTTGCTGATAATACTTCACTATTGCTAGATGGATCAGAAAAGTCTCTAAATGCTGTTTTAAAGTTATTGAATATGTATCAGATATTTCATGATTAAAAGTAAATTTTGACAGAACTAAAGTTATTTGGATAGGCTCTCTTAAGTACAATACAAGATCCATTACGACAAAATGGAAACTGACATGCGGTAATACACAGTTTACATTGTTAGGTTTGATTTTGATTTAGGGAAAATGATAGATTTAAATTTTAAGGAAATACTTCAGAAAGTTATAAATAGTATAAGACACTGGCAAAAAAAGTGGAAAAATTGCTGTTGTTACGTCAATACTCCTTCTGGTCCATATATGGTTGATATTGATAGTTATATACATTTTTTTAAAGATAAAATTGTTTAAAAGATATAGTAGTAATAGCAAAAGTAAATTTTGTAAGCTAATCATGGCTTTGTGAAATATTAAGAAAGTGTTTAGCACAGGTAAATTGTTTTATAAACTGACTATTGATAAAATTAAAAATGCATTTTTGATAGATGTTATAAAAGCTTTGTAGATTAACTTTGTAAAGATAGAATAGAGAAAGAGTTACATGTGCCATTATTTTATAAGCATATCTTGTTAGCCGGAAACAAACACTTTTATATTCAAAGTTTTTATGATAAAGGAATTAGATTCATTAAAGATTTTATTAATAAACTAATTTGAATCAATACAGTGATTTTGTAGAATTACATTACTTAGAACAGGTTACACAAAAAACAAGTCTACTTTTTACAATATCATAGTTTGAAAAAATAATGTCACTTAAATGTTAAAAGATGTTATTCTGCATTTCCTCAAATGACCGTTTTGCTTACTTCAATAATTGGTTTATATTTAAATGTTGTATGAACATTTTGGTGTGCAACAATGTTCCACTTCAATCGTTATTTAAGTGCACATAGTTTGTTATGGAAATAAAAAGTTTACTATAAAAGTAAAATTCAATTTTAGAAATAAAGACACCCTTATGATTCATAATAACCAAGTTTGATTTTAATGAGCCAAGTTAGAAAAGAACAGCAAGTGTCCACAAATATTTTGAACATACCACGTATTTTACGTTTTGTACCTTGCGTTGTCATTTCACTATCAATCTTGTGTCCAGCATTTCTCTCTCTAAAGTTAGGACCTACAGCATGTCGTTGTACTGCCTCCTGCATTACCTCAAATAATGGCTGATCCTAAAATGATGCCAATTAAGTCTACAAATTTACCCAAAAAGGTAACATATAATATATGCATTTTTATCAATTCTTTTACTATGATGAAACACATTACACATCTATACAAGTTCAGCCATTTGGAGAAGTGATGGCCTTGTGGTAAAGGTGTCTGTCTCTCAACCCAGGGATCATGGGTTCGAGCCCTACTCGGGTCATGACCATGTTTCTGCATCTGACACCAGTACTGGTTAGTTCCAGGAAGCGGATTAAAGTGATTAATATAAGTTGCAAGAACTTGTTTCATAATCGAGCTTTCATAAATATGTTAAAACTAATAATAGTGGAAATTAAACAAAAATAGTTAAAAATGCAAAAATCCTAATAAAAGGTCAAAAAGCAGGAAAAAGAAAATTACATATCAAACTTAAAAATCATTTTTAAATTCAATAATAACTTATACAAGATCTTGTACATTAACATCACTGAATTAACCTTTGATGATAACAGCTGTACAAATAAAAACTAAACAACTAAAAACAGCTAAAAAAGTAATTTAACCAGTTTTATATGAATAAAGATCTCACATATTTGCCAGGTTTCTGAGCCTCTGAATCATCCTCGGGATATAATCTTGAAACTTTATCTTTTAATATAGATTTTCCATCTGGTACTATCTTACAATAATCCTGTATTGCCTGTAACCAGAACCATGTAGCATCTCGACAATTAAACCGTGCACCAGTGCCTTCATTCAGCAAGTTTGGTATCAAACCATGACGTAAACATCCACCATAAGCTAAGATGATATATCTGTAACATTTACAGCGTATTTTTACAGTAACTTATTATTTTGTCTCATATTCAGAGGTTAATTATGAGCTTAGATCATCCAGCTGAGATCCATTGGTAGAAAAGGTATAATTCTTCCATGAGGAAATAACTGGATGGGTAAAACTAGACAGGCCATTTTTCACCACAGGGCCATAATTCATATGACACTAAGCAATGTTTTATACTAAAAACATAAGCTGAAGGTTAAATGATTCAATTTTTCTTTCTATGAAAATGTTTGTAAACTAAGTCCCAATGGCAGGGCCAATCGGACCCTAATGGCATGATTTACATATTTTTTGTAGTGGATAAGCTCAGGTCCAGACTTCATGCCTTAAAGTTCTGTGGGTTCGAATCCTGTCAGAGACCTTGGTTCTTTTAAATTAGAAGTGTCAAGGTTAGCAAACATGCTAACAGTTTAAATAGCGACTTAATAACCAGGTAAGATGCTTAACCCATTACTGTATGAGCAGTTTGTGAAAGATGGCTGTTTTCATTAAAAAGTCTCCAGTTACAAGTTCAAATTGCTATAAAACTATAAAAACTGCTTCAATACTAATCAAACTTGGCACAAATGTTGACTGTACCATTGCCTTTGTAACAACATGCTCAGTCTTAAATTTTCTTTTACCATGGCAATGAGAGGACATCTCAAATTTGCCAAAAATCACTATTTTGTGTTGATTTTTTCTCAATGGATTTAGATAGAGTCAAAGGCTTTTCAACTTTGGTTACCCATTACCTTATGATTGACCTGGGGTCATTTTTAGCCTCTCACAAGTCCAAAATTTTCTTGGCCATAAGGGCAGTCCCCCTACAAACCCCCCAAACAGAAGGGGACACATCCCCCTTCTGGCAACCCCCTGATGTATCTTTTGGATAGCGGGCTGCGCCGAAAAAGCGGTCACTTTTTTAAACAACATTTCTCAAACAAAATTCAAGTGTTGGGGGCCTAAATAAGGCATTTTATCACCATTTGAGATAACAAAAGGTGGGGGGGGGTGTGTGAAAAAGGCGTTAAGTTAAAAGGGGTGTATATCGGGTAATGGGTTAACCGACCATACTAAAAGCATTTTTTTTTATACTTTTAACATTTACTGTGTTTTTATTGAAAAGATTACAAACTGATTATGCATATGGGAAAATATACATGTAATACACACAAAATGTCATAACTAACCATAAAGAAACAAATTTAATGTTTAAAATTAATTTAAGATTTCTTCAGCTGTTTATTAATACTAAACTCAGTTATCGGTAATTGAATTTCCTTACCAGTTTATTGCTGTAAAACAACCGACCCCGTTTAAACGAATTAACATGACACCCCTATTCTAAATGAGGAAAGTGTGTGTCTAAAATAATGTTCCAAAAGGCACTAGAGGTCAATTTGATGGCAAGTGTTGGTTTGCCAATGAGCAAATTTTAAAAAAAATTGAATAATTTTACAATAAAGGTAAAGGTCATGTAAAGGTCATTTTTAACTTTTGTCTGTTCACTCATTATATACATTTGGATGGGCATAATGTCAATTTAAGTTTTCTTAAAATTTTATCAGCAGTTTTAGGGCACACATATGGCTAGACAACCAGATTCTCAGTCTCAAACCAGCATACCATACCTGCTTACAGCTGTCATTGTGCATTCAATTACTTCAAATTAAATCATTCAATCTATATAAAAGAATTTATTCAAACCTTGCCTCCTGATATCTGCCTGTCAACAACAGAAGACCTCTCAGGGCAATAAACGTATCTCTGCCCCAGTTTCGCATATAGCTACTTGCAAAATGAGGAAACCCTAAAATAAAGATACATGCACTTTATTTTCAATCTCAATCTAAATTCATAAGATTTCAGCACACAAACATGTTCACATTAAAGACGGGCAGAAATGTGACAACTTGACGTAAATAACTTTTGTCCCTATGCTGATGCCCTCATTAAGTGGGCCATATAATTCTGGCCCAAGGCTGTATCTACCTGTTACAAACATCTCTTAGAACTTTCAGCTGATTTTCATGAAATCAGAGCATAATGTGGAAACAAATTCAGCAATGCCTGATTAGCCAACTAAAATTGTAAGAAATCAACAAAAAAAACCCCAACTTTATATGGAAAGAGTCTTAAAAAAAAAGTGTTGGAGCACCACACAAAATTCTGCATTCTGATATATACCAGACAAGGCACTTAAATGATAGAATGCTAAAATCTGGCCTTTTCACTTGCTGAAATGCACATTAAGATGGCAAATTATTGCCTCACAACATTTCATATAGGATCATATATGAAAAATTAATCAATCTATGAAAAAGGGATGTTCCCTACTTTATGATCATGATTTCTGTCAAGGGTCTAGATGTTACTGCTCCAACACTGTAGTAAGATAAATGATTTTATAAATCATAAATCTGGTGAACAATGACAAACATACCTGCAGCCAATGACAGGCATGCCTCTTCTTCTTCCGACCCATCCTTTGTTTCCACTTTTATAGTAGGAGGTTTAGGAGGTTCAAGGTCCGGTGACAGGAATGGTAGACGAGAGTTTTTAACATACCCACAAAACATCACAGAACCCATTGCTAAAGCCTGGATAAACGTTGATCCATCTGCCACAAAACTATAAGAAACACAATGTTACATCTTTTGTATTATTTTTAAGAGCTCCAATGAGATCAAAAAGCCTAAAAACATAAAATTTGAAATTGTAACACAGATCCTGTTCAGCACTTTAAATGAACAAAATTGCAAAGAATAATAAAGAGATATACTTAAAATTATTCTTATTATCAATTGTTTGTGCAATTCTTAGCCTGATTTGAGTGAAAAGCATTTTCATTTTTTGGATCATTTTGCACAATGAAAATGATTATCTCTGGAAAAACAGAGTAAAGGAATGATCTGAAAATTTGCATGCAAGTACATGTAATTGGTCTAGACTTACAACAGATGGTACACAAATCTCAGAAAAATATTTCCGAGTCTTGTCTCTTGTCCTCTCAAAAACCTCAGGACAGTCCCTTGAGTAACATGTACTAACAAGGCAGACATTATTGCATACATAAAGAGTTGTTATTTTATTTTTATAAAAAGATATTGAAATTACATTTGATGTATACCAACAATATATTGATGATGTAAGTGTAAATAATACGCTTAAAATATAGAATAAAAATTAAATTCTTAGATTAAATACAACAAACTTACTCTGACATAAGACCAAATACTTGTTGTCTAAGTATCACATAAGCTCCAGTTATGATTGCATCAAAATATGATGGAATTAAGTAACGAGGTACCTTTGCTAAATGTTGAAACAAGTTTTGGAACCAAACTCCTAACTGAAAACCAGAAAAAATACATGTATATGCAAGCATTCATATAAGCAAAATAATATCAATGATTAATTTAAGAACAAGAGCACCACAGAATGTGCTTTTTCTCGTCTCTTTAACAACTTTTGACAAAAATTTTAAGTTAAAAAGGGGCATAATACCAACAATATAGCTTTCAGTTTTATGCCCATTGTCTAACTTGTTTTGAAATGCTTGAATAATTGGCAACATTAAAGTTTTTGCATGACAAGGACTACGCAACCAAGCAATTAAAAACACTGCTTAAAAATATAAATACATTTACAGAGAAATGGAATAGAGAACATGGCAATTAGAGATGGTTCAACAGGTCACAGCCATAGCACCGTTTGTCTTTTCAAATATGGCAAAAATTGAGATATTGTCCAACCTTGATTTTTTATTTCACAATATGGAATGTGCAGAGACTCTTGTCAGCGTCAGTCATGCTTCAATTCTTTCATAAATGAATAGTCAGTAACAAAATTTTGTTTCAAGAAATAGTAAGTATTCAAATAATGGATTTTTGGATAATACACTTTTATTTATATTAATTCAGACAGTAAATAAAAGGGGACCGTGCATATACTTTTTACCCATATTCAAATAAGGGTACTGTCAAATAACCTTGGTTTGACCACATTATATTGTTAAAAGAGAAAATAACGAACTTTTTTTCATGTCACAACTACAACATTTTATTTTTAGATATTTATTTCTTAGACATAGAAATTGGTAATTATGAATTAATATGTAATCAAAACATACAATAAATGAGTTAACAGCATTGCGCAAAATCATGTGCTCTTATGAACAGTGAAGGTATATATCTATAATGGTAATTTACTCACATTCTTGGTTCCTGGATAAACTAGTAATCTATTAGCTATATAGGAGGGTAACCAGTCACCATCTCTAAGATTACAACACAGTGGATGACCTAGATCATTCTGAGACCTCACTTGACCTAATACAGTTGTCACACCTTGAAATAATGAAATAAACCATTGTAAAAGTATAAACTAGAATGTCTTCCTGCAATATATGCATTCTGCATGAATATAGATAATATTCTTATATTCTTATAAAACTATTTATAAGAGGCATGTAATATTTATCATCAACAAAATGAGTATACAATGAGTAAATGTGAAATACAGACCATCATAATGTGTTAGTGGAATACTCCTTTTTTTGTTTATGTTTCTTAAAATAAATTGATAAACAATGGAATATACTTAAGCAGATTTGATTCAAAGGGCAATGGAAGACTGGAAAAGACACATTGGCCAATTAACAAAACAAATGTGCTACACAACAAAAACAAGCAATAATTATTTTGTTTAAATAACTTATGATGACAAAGAATCAAGTAAAGTTTGAAAGCATTTGGTTCTGAGGCTGTACTGAAATTTCATTGTTTAAAGCAGGGAATATTGTTGAATGGTAAACATGCAACAACAAACTGTGATTCTTACCTCTGAGACCACAGTAGTTAAAATCACCATAGCCTGGAATATTATACACACTAAAACCATTGCCGTCAGCCTCCTCTTCCTGTTTACATCGGAACAAAGCCACATTTAGATCATTCAGTGTAAGGGCTGACACTATAGAGCGGAAGTTGGATGTATCTACAGTTTCATCAAATAGTTTCCGACCACTGTAAGATCTCATTAAGTAACCAAACTGTCCAAGACCTCTCCTTATCTCCAAAATTGCCTTCAGGGCTGGTTGAGGTAACACACACCTTCAAATACATTATTCTACTATATGTATGTATATATTCTGTATATATATCTGATCAGTTCATTTAAGAGATTTAACTTAATTTAACTGACGCTAGTTGACAATTGTCTGAGCATCTATGTACTAAAAGCTTATCCTTAACTTTTTGTTGTTTTAAACATATTGATTTTCTTTCTATTGAGCAATGTAAACTACTGATTTCTTTCATCATTATCTGCTAGATCTGCTTTCTTAATACTAAAAGCTAGATCTGCTTTCTTAATACTAAAAAAGACCCAAACAGGACAAAGAAAGGTCATTTTGTTACAACTGTACACATCTATACATCCTGTCAGGGGCAAGCCAATGTTTCTTTGAGCAAGACACTTTACACTCATTGCTTAATATTGGTTGGTTCCAGGAGCAGATTCTAGCCAGTTTAATAAGCTAATAGCATACATGTGACAAAAGAAATGGGCCAAATCTGGATATTCAGCAGGATTTTGAGGCTCAAAACTGGATTTTTTTTATTAACTCGAATTTCAATGCCTGTTTGGCACATTTGGTTCAAAGAATCTATATTACCCTCAAAATCATTAAATGATTATACTTTTTATGATTTTTTTGTTGATCAATATTAATTTATTTCACCAAAAATAAATAAATAGATAAAATAAGTGTAGTCATACAGGCTATTTCTAAAACAGTCACATTTTCACATTTCATTATTTTCAGTTTGAATAATTATATCTGTCTTTTCAGTCATACAATAATTGGCTAATAATTTAAAACACAAGCTATTTGAAAACGTGCAACAACTATTCATGAACATAAGACTCTGACAGTTAAATAACGTAACGTAAGTAGAAGACTCAAAATAAATGCAAGAATCGTTCCGTTAATTAAATCCACATTTTTGTCTCAATGATTGTGTAATTCCTAAACAAAACAAACAAATTACCCACTCACTAAAAATAGGTTAATTAGACATGGTTTTGCCGCATCTCAAACAGTTTTTTTTTTAAATGATCCACTTTAAATGATTCTGCTCACCTTTAATCTTTATCAGTGCAGCACTAATCAAAGAAAATCAAAGGTTGAGCGGAATTCATACATGTAAACTTAAAGGGTCGTTTTGATGACGTAGCGTGTAATACCTACTGCCAAATTATAAAAGAGGTCAATTGACAGACACACGACACGTGTTAAGTTAAACATGTGAAAATAACTTTGGGTGATGGAACTGTTTATTACGTCACCTTGCTGTCAATTAGCGACTCAACATTTAATCCGCTATAATTTAGGATATGGACAGATAACAATCAATGCCCGGAGGCACAGTTTACATTTTAGATACAGGTGCAGGGCTTGATTTTTTTTATGTTGATTTTTTTTTTTAAATATCGGGAATTCAAGCTGTAATATCGGGAATCGGGATCAGTTGCGAAATATCGGGATTTTTTTAAATCCCGCTGGGATGTCACATCTATGCAATAGCTTCCAACACAATCAAACTAAAATACATTCATATAAACTAAATACCTGAAAGCTATCACACTTCCTGGGGTAAATGTCTCAAAGTTGATCAAAGAGCACATTCCATCACCAGTTACATTTACTCGAACCATCTTGCTCAGACTAGGTGGTATATTCTCCTGTAGTTTGAGGTAATAATCAGGAAGACCATTAATATAATCACTATCTTCAGTGTACTCATAAGCCTCCGTATGTAACGTCTGTATCTCAAATAAAATAGTCTCTACCATACCTGTAAATATTGACATCAATACAGTCAAACATGTATTATAGACCACATCAGAATAATGCATAAACATGCTGCTTACTTGAAGCAAGTGTAAAATTTCTGATACCTGAAAACCCTGAATTTAGCATTATTTTTATTGGTTTTTATAGAAAAAGAAAGTTTTCAGCAGTTTAATAAAATTAAACTTCATCAAGTGTCTAAAAACTTGTACCCATGTACTTATTAGGTTGATATGTAATGATGAACAAAATTTAGCTGAGCAGCCCAATTATCAAAAAAAAAAAAAATTAAAAATTTAAAAAATCTGCAAGTAACTTACAATTATTAATTATGTACTATCATTAATTAATTATTATTAATCCAATACAATCAAAGAGTTTCTATTATCTCCATAGAAATACATTTTTATCAATAATTAAAAAAATAATTTCATATATTCAGTATACAGTAAACTTCACATATAGCGAACACCGTTACAGGGAACTTCCTGTTATAAGGAACAAAATTTTTTGGCCCGAATTTTGCCTTTCTTTATTTAAGTTAAAAAAATACGGTTACAGCGAACACGGTTATAAGGAATTATCGCTTATAAGGAACTCATTTTTAAATCCCAATGCCATAAAAAGTACAGAAAATTACACTTTTATAACGTATTCCAAAATATCGGCTATCCGCATTTTCATCGGCACAGATTAAAACTTGGCCGAATGTAGCGGATATATTAGGAACAAATAATGACGATGACAGTCAATCTTCCGAAGACGAGATCTATTTAGATGATCTGCCGGTTGTGTCAAAAAAATGAAGCTATTGATTGTTTGCACAAGATAAGGTCACACTTCGAGTCTAATGCCCATGTTGAAGAAACAGTTTTTATAAGTTTATTGGATATTGAATTTAACCTGAAGAGTTGTAAACATTCCCAAACTAAAATTCGCGACTTCTTCAAAGCTAGGTGATTATTTTTGTGCATGATACTGTATCGTTAATAAATAACAATATTGCATATATGGTACATATCATATAATTATCTTATAGATATATTTATACATAAAAATTATACTAAAAAGAAACAACATTGCAATTATTCCTTTTTTTCTTTATCAAATCAATATAAGGGAGCCAACAATGACGAACCCAAGAGTTATTTCTCCTAATCAAATGCTCTTCTAAATGGAGGACGATGGTAAACAATTAGTTCGTTATATGTAAAACTGTTCGCTATAAAAACTTCTGATACAAGGAACTAATTCGCTATATGCTTACAAGGAACTCCGGATATAAGGAACAGATTTGGAATGTCCCGATGAGTTCGTTATAAGCGAGTTTACTGTACCTTGTAATGTAACAGGTCTAATATAAGGTGTTTTCTCTGGCTCCTGAGGTTTACTAAATGCTGTACGAGCTATTAGTACAATAGACTCGTGGGTGACTGGATTATGACGAGTCACAGATACAGTATGTTCATCCACCTGGTCTACATACACCTACAATTATAAACATAATTCAAATAAGAAAATTGGATGAAATTGAAGAATTTAAAGAAACCACACGTCAACACCGGATAAATATGAACAATATTTTAATAAAGACCTACCAGTTTCAAACCTATGTGGTTCTTCATCAGGATAAAATAATTATTCAAATTTTCACATTACTGGGCTATTTATCTGTTTTTTTTCTTTTTCTTTTTTGAATTTCTAATTTTATATTCATTTCCCTATGATTATTTAATTAATTTTATCAAGTAAAAAGTTTTATTATGTTGCAAGAATGACACCTTTACAGTATTCAAAGGCTGTTTAGTAGTGTGTTAGATAACGAGGAGAAAACTAGGAAACATGGAAGTTTTCAAAAAGAATTGGTAAGGGTTTTTGTGGGTGGTAATAATGAAAATAAATTTACCTATTAAAAATTAAAGAAATTACAGTATATGAAAAATATTTTACTACACAAAAACTTACACCACAAATCTGGAGGTAGACAGCAGGGTGAGCACTACAGCTCTCCTTATGCTTTGTATAATCAAGATCTACATTATTTTCTTTTTTATTTTAGTACAACATTGTGAAATGACCATTTAAGACAAATAGTCTCATGATGGTGAGAATTATTCCCTGGTATATACAAATTCTTAACAAGAGGGCCATGATGGCCCTGAAGTCGCTCACCTGTATATAGGCCCCCGGAGTGGGGCCAGTTTAAACCCCAGGGCTTTTATTTGAACAAACTTGGTAGACACCCATTAGAATATGTTTCATGCGAAACATCTAAGGTCTAGCTTGTTGGGTTTTTTTAAAAGAAGATTTTTTGAAGTTTTTTCTTTACACATATAGTTAAAAACAATGACACACCTGGGGCAGGTCCAGTTTTGACCCCAGTGCTTTTATGTGGACAATCTTTGTAGACACTTACTAGATAATGTTTCATGCTTAATATCTAAACTATAGCTATTCGGGTTTTTTCAAAGAAGATTTTTACGTTTTTGCTATACACATATATGGAAAATCAATGTCCCCCCGGGACTGGGCCAATTTTGACCCCAGGGCTTTTATTTGAACAAACTTTGCAGACACTCACTAGAAGATGCTTCATGCTTAGTATCTAAACTCTAGCTATTTGGTTTTCTTCAAAAAAAGATTTTTTAAGTTTTGGCTATACACATATAAGGAAAATCAATGACCCCCGGGGCGGGACCAATTTTGACCCCAGGGCTCTTATTTGAACAAACTTGGTAAACATCAATTAGAACATGTTTCATGCTAAATATCTTAGCTCTAGCTCTTTGGGTTCTTTAAAAGAAGATTTTTTAAGTTTTTACTATATGCATATAGGGAAAATCAATGACCCCCTGGGGCGGGGCCAATTTTGACCCCAGGGCTCTTATTTGAATAAACTTGGTAGACACCCATTAGAAGATGTTTCATGCTAAATATCTTAGCTCTAGCTCTTTGGGTTCTTTAAAAGAAGATTTTTAAAGTTTTTACTATATGCATATAAGGAAAATCAATGACCCCCTGGGGCGGGGCCAATTTTGACCCCAGGGCTTTTATTAGAACAAACTTTGTAGACACTCACTAGAAGATGTTTCATGCCAAATATCTAAGCTCTAGCTTTTTGGATTTTTTAGATGAAGTTATTTAAAGTTTTTTCTTTTGGTTGTTATGGCAACCAGAGTTCTGCATGGAATTAAATTCTTTGAACAATTTTCAAAGGTGACCACCAAAGGAACATTCCTGTGAAGTTTTGATGAAATTGGCTTAGTGGTTTATGAGGAGATGTCATTTTAAGTAAAAGTTTACGGACGCCGGACGGACGGATGCCGGACGAAAAGCGATCACAAAAGCTCACCCTGTCACTTTGTGACAGGTGAGCTAAAAAAAAAAACAAGAGGGCCATGATGGCCCTGAAGTCGCTCACCTGTATATAGGCCCCCCGGAGCCAGGCCAGTTTAAACCCCATGGCTTTTATTTGAACAAACTTGGTAGACACCCATTAGAAGATGTTTCATGCTAGACATCAAAGGTCTAGCTCGTTGGATTTTTTAAAAGAAGTTTTTTAAGTTTTTTCTTTACACATATATTTAAAAACAATGACACCCCTGGGGCAGGGCCAGTTTTGACCCCAGGGCTTTTATTTGAACAATCTTTGTCGGCACATACTAGAAGATGTTTCATGCTTAATATCTACACTCTAGCTATTCGGGTTTTTTCGAAGAAGATTTTTTAGTTTTTGCTATACACGTATAAGGAAAATCAATGTCCCCCTGGGCAGGGCCAATTTTAACCCCAGGGCTCTTATTTGAACAAACTTGGAAGACATCCATTAGAACATGTTTCATGCTAAATATCTTAGCTCTAGCTCTTTGGGTTCTTTAAAAGAAGATTTTTAAGTTTTTACTATATGCATATAGGAAAAATCAATGACCCCCTGGCGCGGGGCTAATTTTGACCCCAGGACTTTTATTTGAACAAACTTTGTAGACACCCATTAGAAGATGCTTCATGCTAAATATCTTAGCTCTAGCTCTTTGGGTTCTTTAAAAGAAGATTTTTTAAGTTTTTACTATATACATATAGGGAAAATCAATGAACCCCTGGGGCGGGGCCAATTTTGACCCCAGGGCTTTTATTTGAACAAACTTGGTAGACACTAACTAGAAGTTGTTTCATGCCAAATATCTAAGCTCTAGCTCTTTAGGTTTCTTAGAAGAAGATATTTAAAGTTTTTCCTTTTGGTTGCCATGGCAACCAGAGTTCTGCATGGAATTAAATTCTTTTAACAACTTTCAAAGGTGATCACCAAAGGAACATTCCTGTGAAGTTTGGATGAAATTGGCTTAGTGGTTTATGAGGAGATGTCATTTAAAGTAAAAGTTTACGGACGCCGGACGGACGGCCGGACGCCGGACGAAAAGCGATCACAAAAGCTCACCCTGTCACAAAGTGACAGGTTTGCTAAAAACTACTTGTGACATTCAGTCAGGAAGCATGCAATCAAAATATCTCCTTTCCACTATACACTGACATTACCTGAGAGAAATTATGTTTCTCTTTGAGATCATTTGCAACACTGCTATCCCCCATCATAAAGTGTAAGTTATTCAGGAGAGTTTTGGCCCGGCTGATTCCAAATGTTTGATTTATGTATGGTCTGTCAGGAAACTCCCAGTCTGCCCATGATGTATACTTTCTTTCCTCGTTTACTACATGTATCTGAAATAATTGAAACATTCTATAATGATTTAACATTAATACAACTCGAACTGTTTAACAGTCTTGGCCTTCATTCATTTTAAGAACTGTTCATTATGCAGGATTTCTACATTAATGTGTACTTACAATGTGCATCTATAGTCATGTCAACTAGAATTCCGGTGCATACTTACATAACCCTATATTTGTGACAAATATTTTCTAACTTTTGCTTTTTTTTTTCTTCTAAATATCATGTTACAAATTGTGTATATATCTTTCTTAAACTGAGTAAATTTTTACCTCGCTTTTCTTTTTAGACAAAATATTGACATATGCAGTTTAACAATAAAAATTTCTAGATTATTCTATCATTCATTATAAAGAAATGCAATAACATTTCTATAACATAGAAAGCATCAAATATCTTAACCAGCCTTCTTAAATGCTTTCATAATCACATTTCACACATTCCCTTAGTAAGTTTGTAGGCCTTTTTAGAACTTCAGTAGCTTGTAGAGTCTAATTTTGCAAACACAAATCTTAATAGAAATTGAACTATTCTGGATATAAAAAGAACATTATAACAGAAAGAACAAGTGTAAAACCTACATGATGAGGTATCATTTGATCATAACCTCTGTTACTTCCTGTAGCACAACATGCCATAGACACAAGAGCGGCTGTTGGTAACATATCATATGCTGATTTTGTCTGAAATAAACAACAATATAACATTTAAAAAGAGGCCCATTATGGTCCTAAATCACTCACTTGAGTGAGCAACTCACCAGGACAAAAATAATATTATAGTTCAGCAAACAAGAAGAATTATAATTGACACTAAAACAATTTACATTATCTTTGTACATGGCACCAAATGATCATTTATGTTAAGTTTCAGCAAAATCTTTTAAGTGGTTAAGAAGATATCATTTAAAGTTTATTTATATTTCTAGGTCTGTGGCTTAGCCATCTTGTTCTGCTAATTGGAACAATTCCTAATATTTTTGGTTAAGTAACAAAAGGTCAAAATATAAACATGTTTTACATCTGTTATCAAGTGTAAGAATTAGTACCTTTATTGGAGATGGGTTATCGTGAGTCTGGTCATAAAACACTGCATGTGCCATACTTCTAACCAGGGGTTTCATACGTGGCTGGATAAATGCTCCAACTGGCTGGCCTCCATACCGGTGTAACAAACTACCAAGTTTGTGACTATTTTCTGCACTCATTGCCTCTAAAACAACAAAAGGAAACTGTGTGATTCTTTGTTAAAGACCTTTCCTCCTTTTTTCTTTGTTTTAAATATTCCTCAAAAACAAAGGTAAAGGAACTTAAGGCACATAAAACTAACATTTTCATACATTGAATACTATTAATCTTTTGCTCTGTTTAATCAGCCGTCTAATAATTCAGATATGGTTGAATTCATATTAAAATGTAAATCTTCATGTAAGAATTTCTGAACTTTTGTTTTGCTATCTCTAACCCTATATATTATATTTAAATGTAAGGATGATTTTAAATACTATTGATATTTTCTGATATTGTCTATTGTCTATATTCCTTTGAATTTGAATTAAGTGGCCTTTGAAATTTGTTTACAGCAACTCTTTAAGCTATGACTTAGCAGTAATGAATATTGAAATCATTTGAATTAGCAACAGACAATTCCAAGTTCAATAAACACAAGTTAAGGTTAAAGGTGAATAAGAATATTAACCTCTGATCAAAGAGTTGATACCCAGTTTGTTAATGAAGAGGTTATCAAGATGTTCCCCTCCTGTGAACAATTCTGCTATAACATACAAGTCTGGTCGAATCTTCCGTGCAGCATCAAGCATATACTGTAATATAAAATATACAATACTCAAACATAAACCAATAAATATGTCACAAAAATGTTTATAGTTTATGAAGGATATGTCTGTATTATTTTATTTGTAAATATTTTAAGCTGCAAATAATGTGACCTTCAGTCTTAGTTAAAATGTGAGACTCTATATTAAACTGTCGGTTTAAAATTTAGATTTGTTTCCATGGATTCAGAGCTACATGCTTTTACAAACAGAATACATAAGTTGTTGCTAGAAAATCCATCAAGTGATGTAGGAAGTGTAGCATTCGTGGATAGATCGGCCACAGGACCAGTTGACTCAAGTGAACTTGAGGAAAATGTTCATTAAATTTTTGAGTCAAGAGGGTATTTTATTTTGTGTAATTACTTCTGGTAAGATCAAAGTGGGTGAGTAATTATATGGAAATATACCATACAGCAATTTAATATGAACAATATTCCAACAGGGTCTTCATTTTTATGTGAGGCAACAGATGTGCAAATTAAAACAACCGATTTGGCCAAGAGTCAAGGTAGATATTTGAACCTACAGGCTTAACTGATTTTAACAGCATTTCAACTGATGATATGGATAGCCAATCTGTTAATAATGAAAACCCTATTCCAAGTGTCACAACTAAGTTTCAGGCCAAAAAATAAATACAAATAAAAAAATACCTCTTAATTCTTGTAGAAAAGTATGTAATTTTGAAGAACGGTCATTGTATATTTACCTCAGCAACATGTATAGGTGTACTATGACAATTATCTAACCGTACACCATGGAAGATCCTAGCTGTAATTTCTGAGTATTCTTTCATTCTTTGCCACAAATATGGGCAATCCTCAGGTTTCTGACCGTACCTTAACTTAGCACTATCTCCCCATCCAACCAGTTCTCTCCGCAGATATATATTAGAACCTGAAATCAACAAAAGGCAAGTCCTAGTCTCTTAACTAATCATGAAGTTTTGTAAGCAAAAAGGAAGTATCAAGATAGAACAATATACTTGTAAATGCAATCTGGGCCTGTCATTATCACAAATTTCTATCCCCATACATATTTTTACTAATAGGACAATTTATCATTTCATTTACCAATTCCAACGATCAACACATATTTGCTAATTTGCCCAAACCATTACACTGATTGTAGTGCAGTAGATAACAAATGTGACATGAACAACATTATTACCATTACTAAAATAATTTCTCTATAATTTTTATATAAATCATTTGTTATGCCTATCATTGTCAAGATGAAATAAAACAAACTCATTTACAAAATGATAATGAAAAATGTGAGAAATGTACGCAAACATACAAATTGTACTTAACAGTGTCTATTATAAAAGAAATGAATCAGCAGTCACATATCTAATGGATATTATCACATTTATTGATCGGTGATGGAACCAAAGGGTCAACCTTAAAACACCAAATCAACACCATTATAAATATCATAGTTAATTAACCAATTATAGGAACAAGAGCTGCCCTGTATTGGTTTGCTCTACTATTCCTACAGACATTGGAATAAGATTTGGACTATAAAAACATTTAAAAAGAAAACAAAAAAAAACATAACTCAAACTACATGTATGCCCAAAATCTATGCAGAGTTATGCACTCTAGATTCATTATGGAAGTATAGGTCCTTAACATTTAGTGTTCAATGTCATATCTAAAAGAGTTCACTTTAGTGACAACATGAGATTGGAACAAAAAGACATAAGTTTGAGGAAGAAGTGAGGCACAATTTTGTCAGTATTTATGAGTGAGTAATCCAATCATTATGCATATAAAATACAGTAATTGTCATAAACAAATGATCTAGTGAAATAATGAAGTGGCACAAGAAAAACATCATCAAAATTTAAAGCAGCATGAAAATTTTAAAAATGTACTTAACAGTAAAATGTTGTGAAGAGAACAGAAATAATAATTTACACATTGCAAACAGCGCTTACAATCCAACTGAAATACCAAAAAGAGGCAAAAATGTGCAAAAATAGCCCTTAATGCATTAGTAACGAGGTAGAAATATGGTGATAATACTGCAAAACAGTCATTTATGTAAATTATTACTTAAATATTGAATCTTTTTACTTTTCTTAAAATCTTAGTACAATTTTCTAAAGTTTGATTATCTAAAAATATTTTTACTTATCTGCAGGCAGAAGTAAAAGGACAATGCTATTGTCAAAATCATGAGAGTTGTTTATTTATGCCTACAAGGAGAGCGATACCTACCCCCCGCCCCCTTCCCAATTTAAAAATTACAAGGGGGACAAAAAGCCTCCCCCCCCCCCCATGAAATTTACACATAGGACAAAAGCCCCCTCCCATCAAAAATACAGGTAGGACAAAAGACCCCCCCTCCCCGTTCATCAAACAAAAGCCCCCCTTAGATTTATAGACCAGACTGACTTATAACTATATGTATCTTTTTACACACACCCAGGTGCTCAAATTCAACACACCAAAAAAACAACAAATAAATTTTAGAGAAAAAGGGGATTTTCTTATCAAATGCAATAACAGAATTATTTCCTTTTGTTGATTGGTTGTTAAGACAATTTTAAAACAGATTTAAAGTTTTAAAACAAAAACATTAAGGGGTTTAGTGAAAAACAAACACATAAACTTATCAACGGCGATATATCGACTTTAGTGGACATGAAGTATCTACCTATAACATTAATATAATAGTTCAGCTAAAAACTGTCAATTATATAGTAAGGGTGTGTCCTATAGCCATTATAGCCATAGCCATTATACCCGTACAATATAAAAAGTCAGTACATCCAGCAAAGGTGTTTATTCAAAACAACCTCAGTAATAAAGGACATATTGTTGGATATAGGGACCCAACTTTTACTATCAGGTAGATACAAAAGAATCAATTTATTCCTTTTATTAAATGATAAAATATTGTAAATTATATAAAACATCAATCATCAAATAAAAGTAAAATTTTTGTATAAAATTTCTGATTTTTTAAATTCAAAATTTCTTTGTTCTTCACAATTATCTTTTGATAAAAAACAAACAAAAACAGTTATTTGTTTTATGCCAAAAATATGATGCTGGCTCCTACTGTTTTCAAACTTTTATCTATCTTTCTGTCTTTTTAATTAATAATATATTTTGTATTTCAATGAAAAAGGCAATAAAATTTGATAACCTGCAAAAAAAATTTTAACCATGGAACTTTTTTTATTTTCATAGAAAAGCATAATGAATGCAACTTTGCTGAACCAGACTTGGTCTAACGACAGTGAAACAACCTTGCAAAATGTCACTACCCCCATTGATGATGTGAAACCAACCAAGAATTCTCCAATGTCATCTATAGATTGGGAAGATGAGAAAAAAGCAATGTACAACATTGAGATCATTCTTCATTGTATATTTCTAGCTGTTGGATTGGTTGGCAACGGTCTCACAATAGGTGTACTTATCTATAAGAAATGGAAAAACGTAACCTCCAGACATATATTGATAGCATTGGCTGTATCTGACACGGCCATGATATGCAGTCATACATTCAACCAAGATTTTCTTCAAGATCTCTTTAAACTTGATGTTAGGGCATTTTCTGATATAGGATGCAAGATATTCTATATTTTCTATCATACTTCAAAAATGACCTCATCATGGTTTATCGTATTTCTCTGCATTGAGAGGTTTGTTGCTGTCAAGTTTCCCCTCAAAGTTAAAATCATCATTACTGAAATGAGGATAAAGGTCTACATCATTGTTGTCTACCTTACTATGACTGGCTTTGCTATAATACTGAGTTTCTCAACAGCCACTGACAACATGATTTGTAAAAAGGACGCTATAGCATCAAATGAGAAGCAAATGTTTCGAGCATTGATGTTGGTCGAGATGTTGCTGTATTCTGTAGGACCAATTTTTCTCATGTCAGTTCTAACACCTATCATTATTCTACAACTGTACAAACGATATCAGTATAAGAAAGCTCTCACCAATAAAACAGAGACCGGAAAAGAACGTGAAATTCAGCAATTGCAAGAGCTAATTCGGACAACAACTGTTCTCATTTCAGTTGTGGCAGCTTTTATCATATGTGTGACACCAATTACTGTTTTCCAGCAGGTAAAATTCTGGCTACATATTAAAAAGAAAGAGATGGAGAGAACATATTCTATCTTTGTGTTCAGGGAGACTTCACAACGTTTAGAACAGATCAATTACAGCATCAATTTCTTTCTGTACATTTTAACTTCTAACACATTCAGGAAGACAGTGTTGGAAATGTTGCATTTAAAACAGAATATTAGAAAGAACATCATCAAAAAGTCAAACTCAGCTGACAAATATAGAGAGAGCCAAAGCAAAAAGGGCAGCACTAACAAGTAATACTGAAGACACATGTAATGAAGGAGAATCAATCTGTACAGAATCATTCTGTAATCAGCTTGTATCAAAGTATAACTACACACCCACTAAACATAGACGGAACAAACTGCACAGAAATATCAGAAAATAACACACAGACAAGAGCAGAAAATATCAAGTAATCCAAAGACATTGCAAAAGTCAGGACAAGAAAACAACCAACAAGAGAACAACCACCCAGAAACAACCTGTAAGGAAACTGTCAGGCTGTCAAGTACTGCACAGAATAATGATCACTTGCTACCACCTGGCACTGTCAAACCAACTGATAGTGACATGGTAGACAACAATGATAAGTTAGACGACAACTTTTACCCAATCTGCACACATGAACAAGCTGTCAACAATTTACCAGTACAGGTTGGTCAACTAGATCCACATGAAAGTAGTTTAGATTCAGACTTCACTGATGGAAAATAACAAATACAGGGACAAGAAACCAAAGACAAAATGCATGATCATTTCAACTAAACCATCTGTTAATTAATACCTGGACTCAAGTATATACTTGCAAGAATGTTGATTGTCTTTCACATTTTAGCACTGAAATATTAGAAGCTAATAAGGAATATTTAATCAAGATATTGGAGTAATATATAATGATTTTAAGTGTGGAAAAAATGTGCATTAAATCATTATCTGTATTAAAATTCAAGCAAAATTCCATAAAATCTTAATAACAATTACAGGCCCTGTTGCAAAATTAAAACAAACATACAGTGAATCTTGTCTATACCAACATTTATTGGAACTAGTTGGTTACAACAGTTATGGATGGTTTTAAGATATGGCAAGTAATTAATATTGCAAGGATCATTGGTGTATTTTATGTAAATGTATTAAATGATAATATCACAAATTTTCATACCTAAGTACAGTAATATTTTCATATTGATACCTATCAAAAGCCCTTCATGACAAAATTACTCTCACAGAGAATCATCCTATTTAAAAATTTTCTCACAGGTATTATTTGCTGATGCCAGATTTTTATTTCTATCAGACTATGATAAAGTTCTTTTTTTTTTTCTTTAACTTCAATTACTCTTTGATTATTTTTGTGAATGGCAAATCATGGCAAAAATGACATTTTCTTGATAAGCCTGATATGTTTCTGGTACTATAGTTGGTTATCGGTTTCAGAGTTGTTTTTGAATAAAAGAATGAATAAACTATGTATGGGAAGTTGCATATCTTATTACACGTCAGGTAAAAGTCGTACTTTAAAAAACAAAAAACTGCCAGTTGTTTTAATGACATTATATATTCATATTTAGCCCACCCATAGTGTGTAGAGCTTTAAACAAAACATATCTACTTTGTGTGAGGTCAAAACATGTTTATTTTATATTTGCAAAGAGACCATATAGCAATCATCAATATTTTCTAATATGATTATCAATTTGTGCATAGTATATCTTTAAGAAACACTGTCTCATTCCCATATGTAGTAGTTACACTCTCTGGCATCATTATCTAACTCTAGATATTCCCTACTCTTTGTAACTAACATTTGAGTTTATGGTTGTTTTAGACAAATATACCTGACTCAGCAAAGTTTCTCAGTGGATCATCTCCCATCACCCAACCATTACAAGCAAACACATATTTGCCACCATCACCATTCATGTGTGTCTCCTCTGACCCTACAGACCCTGTGTACTTTTTTGATACTATAAAGTAACTGAAAAATAAAACATACATTTCACCTCATATATCCATCTGTATATAAAACATGCATTCAACAATCTTTGTTGTAACCAACTTACCTAATACATGTCCTCATCTCTAGTATACACTTTTTCATGATAGAACAACATCCTTATGCTAGCCTTACCTTGCTTGTTTTTTTATTTACTACAACATTGAAATGTAGCTTATGTAAGAATTGGATAACAAACAAAATTTGTGTCAAATTATACAAAATACAGAAAAATCTCTCTAAATAATCAAAATGCAAGAAGTATACTTTTCCCTGGCAGGTTAAAAAATCAGAGAGGATTGATAATCAAGGTCAGAAGTAAGGCTTTGGTTCAATGGTTCCAATTTGTCACCCAGCAAAAATGTCACTCATGTTCTATAGAACTAAATCACCAAACAGATAAATAAGTCATATTGTGTATTGTTTGTAAGGTGAATACAACATACATGTATTTCTCTTTTACTCTTTTATATTGTAACAATATTGTTCTTTTATTTTCATTTGACAGTAATTTGTATTTCTCTTTTATATTGTAACAATATCGTTCTTTCATTTTCATTTGACAGTAATTTGAATAACTGTATCATTTAATAACAAAATATTGTAAAATAAAATATTGCGATCACTATACATACGTTTTATTTTGCTATCAATACATATTTTGTAGTGTTAGTTTATATGAATTTATTTTAGTTCGATTGTGTTAGAAGCTATAAGCTTATTAAAACACCCTCAAACCTGTTTCTGGAATCAACCAGTACTAACCAATGAATGTACTTTCTTGCTCAAAGAAACAATGCCTTGCCCCTGACGGTTGTTTGAACCCACATCGTCAGCAATCCTTAGATTATACCTTGATATGTTGTGTTTGTTAATATGTAAACAAGAGGCCAATGATGGCCATTGAATGCTCAAATAAGATCCATTGCAAGAAAAGGTTATAATTTTCAGTATATGTATATTAAACTTAAACTTACTCATGCATCAACGGTTCTCTCTCTGTAACCTGTTTAATCTTTGGACCGTCTTCATTAAGGAATCTCCATCGTATATTTGCCATGAAGTTATTGACAGCTGTGTTTAGATGGTCATGTAATGCATCCAGCCTCTCTTTGTTTATAGCGTCCAAATCTCCCTTCAAAAACTCACAACATTTCTTAATTCTCTGTTCTCTATTTATAGCACCTGGCCTGAAAACATTTTAAATGTGATTATTATCATGAAGTTGGTAACTTGTTGATTTGTACTTTGTGGGGCTATCTTAACACAATTTCTGATATTGTAAAACATATGCAAACTTGTACAAATTTGTACCCAATCCATTATGTACAAGCTGATTTTCAATAAAAAGATTCAAAGGGTCATTGCTTTTATATGAAGAGGAGAAATTCAAATAATTTTGTATACTGACACATCTACATGCTTGTTTTAAATATTGTGGAAAAACATCAATTCATGAATTGTAGAAGTAGCATTCACACGATTTTACATGTGCAGACAGATTGCAAACAAGAGGGCCATGATGGCCATGAAATTGATCACCTGGATATAAGCCCCCGGGGTGGGGCCAATTTTAACCCAGGGGCTTTTATTTGAACAAACACTCACTAGAAGATATTTCATGCTTAGTATCTAAACTGTAGCTCTTTAGATTTTTTATTTTTTTTAAGAAGATTTATTAAGTTTTTACTTACACATATAAGGAAAATCAATGACCCGGGGGTGGGGCCAATTTTAACCCAAGGGCCCTTATTTGAACAAACTAGGTAGACACCCATTAGAATATGTTTCATGCTAAATATTTAAGCTCTAGCTCTTCTAGAGTTTTTTTTAAAAGAAGATTTTTTAAGTTTTTACTATACATATAGGGAAAAACAATGACCCCCTGGGGCGAAGCCAATTTTGACCCTATGACTTTTATTTGAACAAACTTGGTAGGCACCCACTAGAAGATGTTTCATGCTTAATATCTAAGCTCTAGCTATTTGGGTTTTTACTATATACAAATAAGGAAAATCAATGACCCCAGGGGCAGGGCCAATTTTGAAACCAGGGCTTTTATTTGAACAAACTTGGTAGACACTGACTAGACAATGTTTCATGCCAAATATTTAAGCTCTAGCTCTTAAGGTTTTTTAAAAGAAGATCTTTAAGTTTTTTCTTTCGGTTGCCATGGCAACCAGAGTTCTACATGGAATTAAATTCTTTGAACAATTTTTAAAGTTGGCTACCAAAGGAACATTCCTGTGAAGTTTGGATGAAACTGGCTTTGTGGTTTATGAGGAGATGTCATTTAAAGTAAAAGTTTACAGTCGGACACTGGACGAAAAGCGATCCGAAAAGCTCATCATGTCACTTTGTGATAGGTGAGCTAAAAATTGTCAAGGGGTCAAATCTTGTACATGTATATGAAAGGGAGAAATTTACAATTTTTTTCAAAGCAAATTTACATGCTTGTATAAATAGTGATAACCTGATGAAGGGTAGGGTATATCTTACCCAAAACTGGTAGTTATAATAAATATATAAACCAACCTGGTGTTTTCATGTGTTGTCCCCCATTAAAAATCTTTTAATTTATTGCATAAATAGTGTACATAAGTTTCAAGCAGATCCATTACAAAGTAAGGGAAAGAAGTGCTTACAAGATTTTTGCATGTGCAGCAAACCAACTGGCAACATGACTCCAATATACTCCCATTCCTTCTTTGGAGAAGTATAATAAATTAAAGAAAAATTGGCCAGCAAAGAAAATTGCTCAGCACAATAGAATCCTAATCTCTCTAAAAAATATCTGAGATTATTTCAGTCAAAAGGGAAAAACTATAAACAAATAGCTCAAATCTAAAATAAAAGAATAAAATGTTCTTCATTAATCAACTTCCTAAACACAAAAGGGCTTTATTCTTTTCCAAAATTATATTTGAAGTGGCAACTCAAACAAATGTACTTTTTTAACAACCTTTTTTAAAACAAAAATGTTTCAATGGATGCCAATTATTCAAGTTTTATCAATATTGTTTTAAACAGGCTACACATCTGTGCAGCCTGGCCAGGCTCTTTACTTTAGGCAACTTATTTTTGTAATTTCTTATTAAAATCCCTTAAAATCATAAAAGACCTTTCCAAAATTAAAAGCTGGGAAAATCCTGTACTCAAATCCAGCAGGTTAAAGATTAAACCAAGACTGACCTTTAAGGCTTTTATTTAAATGACAATAGATTTAACCTGAAGTATATGTTGTTGCAAAATTCTTATTGTATACACTAATCTGATAGGTCCTGGGATCTATGCATGAGGATGCAAATATACTTGATTGACAAATCAAATGAAATTTATTCAATGTGGAAAAAAACAAGAAGAAAATCAGCAAAGTTGAAACATTATATAATTTCAGTACATATACAAGACAAATAATTGTTCAAAAGCAAAAATTTCTTTTTCATTTAAGATTATTCAAATGAATATTCTCTGCATACAGGATGATATAAATACATTATAAGTGCAATTCCTATAGATTCACTTATCTTACAATTGGAGGAAAATGTACTATAACCTGTATCTGAAAAATCAATTACTATAGAATACGATAAATACGCAGTTCTGCAATACAGTAGGGTAATAGGTAAATATGCTAACATATCTTCACCTACATATTGCACAACACTTCACCTACTTCACATGTCAGTTTTTGTAAGACTTACCAAGTCACTCAAATAATACTAACCAAGTTCAAATATAGGTCAAAATGTATATGACACAATATACATAGCAAGAAGTATTGAAGTATTCTCTAAAGATTTTGTCCATGTTAACCTTATTCACTATTACCTATAAATAATCAGCATACAAAAGACCTTAATGCATTATCTTAACGTCCAACAGCTATGCAAATAGCTATATCAATATAATGTACATAAAGAAAGAAATATCTATTTGTTATCTACCTTTTAACACCTTGTTAAAGTCTTTTTATAGACAAACTATAATCTAAAATAGTCACTTTAATCTTTTCTCGCATGTGATGATATTAAGTTACTTATGTTATTATTATCTTTTTAACGAAAATAGGCTATGGACAAGAAAATATATTAAATTTCAGTACAAATCAAAATGTCTCCTTTGACATGTATGACTTCAACAGCTGTCATTTACCAGCTTGTACTGGTTTCAAATAACAGTAAATCTTCATACAAACCTGACTTGGAGGTAACAAATTATTTGGTACAGTTAGTGAATTTACAAACAAAACTCAAGCCATAGTCTGGCTGCACAATTTTACTCTCCTGTTTTCTTGAAATAAGAAAATTAAAATCCCTTGGCAGCATTAAAAATGTTTAGAAAGAAAAAAATCTTACAAAAAGCCCATTAAGTAAGTACCAAAGACACTTACATTATTATATTTCACAAACTTTTTTACTTTTGGTGTCGTGTTAAAGGTTCCAAAATGTTGTTTATTGACCATATAGATGAATCATCTTTTGCAATTAGTACAGTTATTAAGTGATTAAGTATTTTGTATGGAAGTCAAAATACTACTTAGTTTATACTTTGCTACTTTTATGACAAATAATTCTAATTGCACATACAGGTACATTTTTGTATACTTTCTTCAGGTGATAAGCATCTAACATGCTCTAAATCCATTACTAAAACATAAAATGCAGGTTTTCTCTTTCTACAGAAGTAAAAATGTATACATTTCTGAAGCTCAATATGCCTTTAAATGCTTCTTATCTAATCCCTATATAAACAAAAAGCAATGACAGAAACAGACCTGTCAGTGTTGTAAAGTTTCAGGGCCACATCCATGTCTATCCTGCAACCATTTCTCTCATATCTGGGATCTTGAATCAATTCTAACTTTTTACTATCGGTCTTTATGACTCTATTTTCTGTAAAACACAACATACAATGTTTATCAAACATCTTCAAATAGTAATAACGGAAACAGTTTGATTATTTTACCAATCTCTAGTACAAAAGGTCATATATCAGTTTTCTTTGATACTTTACTACTTCCAGGTTTTTCCCCTTCATATATAATTTTTCCTGGATACTTCAGTTTTTTTCCCAATTATATCAGTTTTCCTGGATATTTCACTTCTTCCTGTCTTGTTTTTTTTTCTGACATACAACTGAATACCTCTCAACAGCTTCATTAACTTGCAACTGTGGTAACACTTTCTTAAAAAAGTTTGAACGAACATTTATCAGCAAGATTTCAAACAATGTACTGCTCAGTAATGTTTTAGTGAAATATTGATATGCTGAATAGTTTAAGTGAAAACACCAAAATTGTGAAACTGTATACTTTTATATACATTGCAATTTCAAGACAACAGACCTCTAAGAAGAAAAGAAATGTAATGCAGGGATTTACACAGTGGCAAACATGGACATTTAAAATGAACCTATATTAACATTTATGTATTTATTACCTTCAATTCCATGTTTGAATCTCTTCATTATATCATCAATGTTAACTGTGTAAAACTCATGCATTTTAAAACCAGGGAGCACCTCATACAATAGTACCTCTCTTATTTTCTGAAAAATATATACATGTACATATAGATTTATCTTCAAGCATTAACGAAAAGTTTTAATAAAGAAAAGATAGCATCTTTGAGTTATACATTCTTAAATCTCAAATATATCTAATTATCAACAAGTTTATTAAAAAATTTTACAGAAATTTTGACTTTCCAAAAACGTAATAAAAGAAATGATGATATATATTCATGAAGACAAAAACTATACCCAATAATGAACCAATTTTAAGGTACTAGTACATTTTCAACTTCTTAATTACTTAATAATGTGTGCTGTTTATTTTTTCAATATCAAAATATTTGCTGTAAACTAGATCTATTGCTAACAAAACTAAAATTCCAATACTCTGCATTATTTTAAGTTTATTTTGAATAAAGAAACAAATGTTGGAATAAATACAATGACAATGATACCTGGATATCAGCTTCTTTACTGATAGTTGGTGGAATGCCTTGACTTGCCCACTTTCCTTCAGCTACCTCTAAACTAAAGTGATGTAAAATTCTGTCCAGAAGGTAAGCTGGCTTTAAGTGTGGAGAGTTCTCCATATTATACCCACACTCTGGGTGTTCTTGTAGCCACTCACTGTTGTTAGCTGTGTGGTTGTATACCAAGTCAGTCAGGGATAAAACTTCCCATTCTCTATTCATCTTTTTGATCAGCCCTTCCACATTATTGAAATCATAGTTTTGCCCCTCTTTGATATAAACTGGGTTAAGTTTAAGCTGGTCTTTGATGGAGTATGCCGAGTTAGATTTGCCGAGTGCCTGGATTGGTGTAAAGTGTATGAGGTTGTATCCAGTTGCCTTGGAAACATACAATCTACCTTCCCAGTCATCAAAATGGCCAAGACATTTAGATATGACAGACTGGCACTGTAAACAGTCAAGAGTATACTGTTTGCCTTGCTCCCCAACAGATAATGTAGGATCAACCAAGAAGTAACCTTGTCCATCAGCATTTTCAATGTCTCCACTGAAGAAAACAAAAAATTGTCCTTTAAGGTGAATGTAATTAATAATAAAATAAATATAGATTTGCTTCAAGATATAGAAATAGATTATCCTAACAATCCCATCGGCAAGTTAGTTTATACAAAACGGGATTAGCTACATTCTGTAGAAAGCTTTAAGCTTACATATAGACACAACTCTTCAAAAACAACAAGTACATGTACACAGCAATATATGGAAGACCGGTGGTGAATTCAAACTTCAGACTTTTCATTTTACACATAATATATTTATATCAGAAATGTGTAGTATGTAGTGTGAAGTCTGAAATCTGAAATGTAAAGTGTGAAGTCTGAAATCTGAACTGTAAAGTGTGAAGTTTCAAGTATGAAGTGTGAAGTTTGATTTTGGGTTCTTTAAAAGAAGATTTTTTAAGTTTTTACTATATGCATATAGGGAAAATCAATGACCCCCGGGGCGAGGCCAATTTTGACCCCAGGGCTTTTATTTGAACAAACTTTGTAGACACTCATTAGAACATGTTTCATGCTAAATATCTTAGCTCTAGCTCTTTGGGTTCTTTAAAAGAAGATTTTTTTAAGTTTTTACTATATGCATATAGGGAAAATCAATGACCCCCTGGGGCGGGGCCAATTTTGACCCCAGGGCTTTTATTTGAACAAACTTGGTAGACATTTACTAGATGATGTTTCATGCTAAATATCTTAGCTCTAGCTCCATGGGTTCTTTAAAAGAAGAATTTTTAAGTTTTTACTATATGCATATAGGGAAAATCAATGACCCCCTGGGGCGGGGCCAATTTTGACCCCAGGGCTTTTATTTGAACAAACTTGGTAGACACTTACTAGAAGATGTTTCATGCCAAATATCTAAGCTCTAGCTCTTTGGGTTTTTTAAAAGAAGATATTTAAAGTTTTTTCTTTCGGTTGCCATGGCAACCAGAGTTCTGAATGGAATTAAATTCTTTGAACAATTTTTAAAGGTGACCACCAAAGGAACATTCCTGTGAAGTTTGGATGAAATTGGCTTAGTGGTTTATGAGGAGATGTCATTTGAAGCAAAAGTTTACGGACGCCGGACGGACGGATGGACGCCGGACGAAAAGCGATCACAAAAGCTCACCCTGTCACTTTGTGACAGGTGAGCTAAAAAGGGAGGAAAATAAATTACTTGTTGTATCATTTGAATTGATGTAAAATATCAGTGTAATTGAAGTTCACATAAGTAAAATAATGCCACTTCAAACACAATGCATGTACTTGTTTCAACCTCATAATGCTTAAATGTGTTTGCTCTTTTCTACCTGACGTGCAGAATTCAGTTAGATTATGTATGTTTATTATTATATCTGCATACTGTATAGAACAGAAAAAACTGTTGTTTTTATCTGCAAGGAAGAATCAATCACTTTGTATCTGCTACTTTGTGGCAATAATCCAAATATTTGCAGAGGCATCTGTCATGGTGATTTATATTGTTAGACACAATATTTTACTAACTTTTTTTCTCAGCTCTTAAAAAAATGAATAATGAATGTGATAATTAATTTGCTTAGAACTTACACATATACAGCGCTCCTCTTAGCTCATGGAAACAAGAAGGAAAACAAAGAATGGACTTAGTCACTTACTGTACAAAAAATTATTATAAGCTGTAACATTTAGGTATTTTCTGCTGTATGACACAAGGAAACCACACATTCAATCATAATCAGATTTAATGGTCAAAATGTAGATCATTGGTCGGCCATTTTGAAAAATTTAAATGACGATAAATGGTGTTACACTCTATATTTTTCATGTTTCAGTTAATATTACTAAATGTTATATTGCTAAATTTTAAATATTAAAATCATATTTACTTTGTAACTCAAAATTGATTTTTTTTCAACAAAAAAGGCTTAAGAAAATGATGATTGTTTCACACATATGCATACATTCAGTCAGTGAATTTAAGATTTTGAATTTACTGGCATGAAGTCCAGTTTTGAATTTATTCTTCTATATTTTTAACTAAATTCTCTTAAAATTTGCACTGGCCTGAACTAATTTTCACTGGCCATATAGTCTTCAGCTTTCGAGTTGATGACCTTGGTTTAGTATGTAGCAAAGTTTCTTAATGTACATTGTATGAATAATAATACTGTCCAATAATAATTATTGAATTATTTCTTAATCCATCCATGAATATAAAAATTACACACACACATAACTACTTAGATAACTTTTGCATATAAGTGTGAGTTGGAGATCTTATTCTTATGTGTGACATGTTGTCATAATGGGTATACATTTATGCAAAGCTATTTTAAAATTCATCCATGAAATAAGGATTGTTGACCAGACATGAACATCAATGCACTTAAATAAAAACTATCAAGTTTAGTGTGACCTTGACCATTGACAAGTAATGGTTTTCGTGGAAGCTACTTCAGCTAAATGAAATAAATATTTATGAATATTTTTAAAAATATCCATCAATGAATGACAGTCATGGACCAGACACAACCATCTATTCACAATCATACTATAACATTGTACACAAGTGTGACCTTGATCTTTGACCTGGAGATTCGATTCTTGTGCAAACATATCAAAATTGTCAATGAGTAACAAAGCTACTGACTGCACAAAAACAGAATAGACAAACAGATGGACAATTTAAAAAGTATATGTCACCCTTTGGGGCATGTAATAGTAGCAAAATCATGATACATGTATATAAAACTAGAATTCTTTGTAATTCAAATTAAATATTTACACAAAAATATGACTGACTTTATACCACAGTCATATGGCTGAGCCTAGGTAAAAATCTTTTAAAGTAGAGTAAATCTTATTTAATGTTTAATTAATGTAAGAATCTTTGGAGTATAATGAAAGTTTTACCTGTTATCTATGGTAAAATAGTAGTTAAATGATCCAGCTATAACCATGGATATTTCTGTGTAGACATCATGACTGTCACTTTTTGAGCCACTGGAGCTCTTCCATTCAAGTTCATAGTATGTTGTTCTCTCGAATGGCACTTCTTTCTTTGGAGGATGATTACAATACAGTCGTACTGTGCTGGCATGAAGAGATGGACCCAATACAAAACGTAAATGCCAATCTGCAATTTATTTTAGCAGCAATTATTGAACAAGTTTACAATACAAATCATTTAGATTGCAATAATGAATTGAAATCAAATAACTGGAGACACTCATTTGATATCAGATCAGTCCTAAAGAGTGAGAAATTTATCACTGACAGACAGACTGAAATATTACCAACTACTTACACCTTATCTTATTTGGTAGAATCTTGAGAACTCAAACACTAAGTTTACCTTTTAATTCAACTTTATCTATAATAATATGATGATGAATGCACTTCAATATAAATACACATGTAGATCAAATATGATTTCCAAAAAAGGTTTCCTAAAGTTCAAAGGCTTATAACGAATTTTCTTTTCGTAAATGTAACAAGAGCTGTCGGTAGGACAGCAACGCTCGACTATTCTTAGTGCTTGATAGTAAAAAAAATGCTTGATAGAGTTACCTCCTCCTGTTTACAGGTTGGGGTCATGATGTTGAACAAGTGTGCAAAGTTTCAAAGCCATATGTCAATGGACTTTGAAAATATTTGAACTATTACAAAAACTTTAACGTAAATTCTAAGTCGAAAAAGGGGCATAATTCTGTCAAAATGCTTGATAGAGTTACCTCCTCCTGTTTACAGGTTGGGGTCATGATGGTGAACAAGTGTGCAAAGTTTCAAAGCCATATGTCAATGGACTTTGAAAATATTTGAACTATTACAAAAACTTTAACGTAAATTCTAAGTCGAAAAAGGGGCATAATTCTGTCAAAATGCTTGATAGAGTTACCTCCTCCTGTTTACAGGTTGGGGTCATGATGGTGAACAAGTGTGCAAAGTTTCAAAGCCATATGTCAATGGACTTTGAAAATATTTGAACTATTACAAAAACTTTAACGTAAATTCTAAGTCGAAAAAGGGGCATAATTCTGTCAAAATGCTAGATAGAGTTACCTCCTCCTGTTTCCAGGTTGGGGTCATGATGGTGAACAAGTGTGTAAAGTTTCAAAGCCATATGTCAATGGACTTTGAAAATATTTGAACTATTACAAAAACTTTAACGTAAATTCTAAGTCGAAAAAGGGGCATAATTCTGTCAAAATGCTTGATAGAGTTACCTCCTCCTGTTTACAGGTTGGGGTCATGATGGTGAACAAGTGTGCAAAGTTTCAAAGCCATATGTCAATGGACTTTGAAAATATTTGAACTATTACAAAAACTTTAACGTAAATTCTAAGTCGAAAAAGGGGCATAATTCTGTCAAAATGCTTGATAGAGTTACCTCCTCCTGTCTACAGGTTGGGGTCATGATGGTGAACAAGTGTGCAAAGTTTCAAAGCCATATGTCTATGGACTTTGAAAATATTTGAACTATTACAAAAACTTTAACATAAGTGGTTACGCCGACGCTCGGGTGACTGCAATAGCTCTACTTATTCTTATCGAATAGTCGAGCTAAAAAATGACAAACCTTTTTCAAGCCGAAAAAGTGTAGTTTCAAGGTTTTCACCCTTATTCAATGTCAAAACTCTTACTTGACAAGAAGCCATGATCTACAAAAGAAAGATACAATAATGTACATAAACAATTACAACAAAAATAATAACTTTCATATATTTTTTTAAATTCTACAAAAAAATTGTTATTACATTTAAACACAATACAAGAGCACATGTGCTGTAAACATTCGTCTGTTATATGTCACATGCTAGACATGAGGTTTGGAAACAGACCTCAAACAATGAACCCAAAGACATGTGGCAGACTGCCAGTGAAGTAAATAAAAGCGAAATCTTTAGTGGTTGATGAGATCTGAAGTTGCACACGAAATTGGAATTAAAAGTTTAGCCAAAAAGTTACATTGACACTGATATTCCGGTGAGTAGGAAAGCTCCAGTATTCTTGGAAAAATATAGTATTCATTATAAATGATTTACAGAATTGTCCTCCTGCTGCACACCTCCAGATGAATGTATAAATAGTCTAAGAAATAATATAACAAATTTGAAAATGCCCAACCGTCCACATAGAATATTGGTGACATTTTACATGTTTTGGGAACTGAATTTACTATATTTTACTTAGTATTCAGGTATAAGCCAATGGTAACATAAGCTGTTTCTCCTTATAAAGTTATAATTGAGCTAAATGTCACTTGTTAAATAGGTACACTTGGACAACATAGTTACCATTGAATTTGAACCTTTTTTCAAATTTCCTAAAATTTTGTAAAAATTGCCAAATATCTGAAGGCAAACTGCTTTAAAGCAGGCTGGTTAAAGGTGACTGTATTTCATTCTTTATACCAACTTTCACTTAGAACTGTGTCAAAGATGATAGTGTGTTAAAATGCTAATTTCAATGCATACCATCTTAACAGCTAAGGCATGACTCAGACTGACACATTAATTATTGTCTTAAATCAATAAACTTTCATGTACTTTAAAGAAATGATGCATTGACAAAAGTTAATAAAAATAAATCAATGCATGTTAGTCCCCTTTTATTACAATTTGCAAGAAAATTAAAAACCACTTTAATACTTACGAGGACCATACTGCAGATCTTATACTTCACATATTAAATGAACATTATAGTTTGTCTTGATAAACTTAAAAATACATCTTATTCAAGTTAAAATGCTGGAAAAAAAGGTTATGGCATAAGAAATAACTTTTAAATTATAATCAAGATGCTGTCTACTTACTATTGAATTGACACAGGTATGTCAAAATACTGGTAACCCTCTAAATCCTTTTTGCCGATGTTGGTCACACTAATTATAAATTCTTTATTAATTTAACAGTTTTAGTTAAAAGGAAACTTTATCTTTACAAAAATGTTTTGATTTATCAATATCTAAAATGGTTGCTTCTCCTAGTTATAAAATAAGTTCACTGATCAGTAAAATCCAAAGATGCAAACTGTTCAGGATGCTGGAATCACTGCTACTGATATTTTTCTGTTTTTTCCCTAGTGGCAGTCCCGAGCCAAAATATAACTGATCACTTTCTGGTTTAATTTAACCTTGAGTGAAATTCCATGTTAATGTCACCTGTCCCCCAACAGTACCATCATGAAAAACAGAACAGCTGATCCATGCTAACTGACACTGTCATTGTGCAGCATCAACGTGAAATTGTCATGCAAATTTTGCAATGAAAACCACATCAAGTTGGACTGTTTAAAAATGCACCAGGACATACAAAACAAAAATTTAATTCTAAACATCCGTTTTGAATATTTTTAACAGACTTTGCAAATTACAATTGAACGGCCTTGACCTATGTCTTACTAGTCAAGGTGAACATAACCAAGGACGCCTGACTGCAGACGACGTAGGCCAATAATTAATCAATTTACATTTATTTTCCGAAATTTTTAAACGAAGATACAAAATATGGTTTAGTGTTAATGCATATTATCAATATACATAGAATAATGCCACAAAACAGTTTATTTTTATAATTTTGCAAAAAATAATAAAACCGGAAGTTATTTTTCTCAGACGGTGTGATTAGATATTGTTGATATTGTGACGAATGCTTCTGAATCAGACCACCAAATCAATGCTCTTAGACTGGACACCACTGATTAAGGATGTGTACGTGTGTGAGGACCAGTATATTTTTATCAATATGCGAAGGGAAGGGTAGACAGACAGACAGTTATATAGATAAAGTAAAAATCAGTTCACTACTGAGTTTTGATAAAGCATGCACACACATAAAATTTCATGTTAATGTACTTTGATTGAAGTAAATATGCCATATCGACTTTTAACAGCTCCTTGTCCATTGTAGAGGTTTCAGTGCAGTATTTTTAAAAGTGATCTATGAAATACAGTATGGTGGCTGATTTGATACACTTTGCGCGTTGCGTTGTCGATAGCGACATTAATTTCAGATTCTATTAACATTGACAATTACGCCGATGATTCCACTTTATACAAATCTGATACTGATATTCTCGTTATTGAGAAAGAACTCCAAAAAAGTCTTAACTTAGTCAACAAATGGTGTATAAATAATAATATATCTTTGCACCCATGAAAAAACCACGGATTTATGTAATATAAATCCGTGGAAAAACTAAGTGTATGTTATTAGGTTCAAAATTCAAAACTAAGCGGGCTAAAAACAAAAACCTCGAGCTTGCTATAAATGTCACTATATTAGAAAACGTATCAAGTCAAAATATTCTCGGGATATGTGTTGATAGTAATTTAACATGGCATACTCAAGTTCATAATGTTATAAATAAACACAATTCAAAAATTGCACTTTTAAAACGAATTTCATTTTAAGACAGATGATATGAAAATGTTATACTATAATGCATATATAGTGTCAACAATGGACTAGAATCTACTGCAATACCACATGGGAACAAAACTGCAAATCGGATACCGAAAAAATATACAACATACAAAAGAGGGCACTTCGAGTAATTCTGAAACAGCATGTAACAATTACATGTATATTAAAAAGTGTATATAAAACCCAAAATCTGCTTACTTTTGAAAACAGATGCAATTACCACATGGCCTTATTGGTTTTTAAAAGTGAATATAATCTTGCACCAAAATATATATCTGAACTACTAGTTTTTCTAATAATGACAGATATAATATTCGCTCTTTAGCGAATAATGATCTTATTCACTTCAGGCCACGGAACAAACATTTATGGAATACATTTCCAACTGACATAAGACTACAAAGCAAATTGTCATCTTTTATGGGTAAACTAAAGGATTATTTAATAAAAAATACAGCTTAAAGCGCTAAACTCTTTAAACTGATTTTTCAACAGAAATTGATATAGCTCTGTATAGCGTTTTGTTTGTTTGTTAACATTGATTAATGATTGTATGTGCATACGAAGTTAAAGAGACTCCACTGAGGTTTTTTGACATGATGGGACTGAAAATATTTTTTCCAGATAAATGTACCATTTGATGTAGGGTTTGGACCACTAATCTTTGTGCATAATTTCAGATCATTTGCGCTCTTTGTTTTTCCAGAATGGTAAAAAAATACCCACTCAAATCGGGCTAAGAAAAGCAAAAAAATGCGATTTCAATGTATTTCAAAGTATATTTCTTAATTATCTTTGCATAATTTCTGTTTAAAGTGCCCCAGCTCATTTATGTAAGAAATTCAAATATTATGTTTTTAGGCTTTTAAACCTCAGTGGAGTCCCTTTAAGTACTAATTACCATAAGTTATTATTTATAATTCACAAAAATGCTATGTATTTTGTAAGAGTGTTTGTCGTAATTATATTGCTGTTCATTGTTTTTTCTTTTTATTTGTTTATATATGTATAGAAGGTCATATTAGAAATAAGTTGTATGTTTATTATGTACTTTTAATATGTCACCTTCTCAAAATAAAATTATCATCATCATTATTATTATATTATATTATTATTAACGCTATAATGACTACACGAAACAATGGTATTCATCGATGTGGTGCTGGATCTTTGGAATCCCTCCAGGGAGATACAGTGCCGGGCTCTGAGATACTGGCGTGATCGTGTAGAGCGAACGCCAGTAAGTAAGTAAGTATTATTATTATGGCGCGTTGTCGTGTGGCACAATGTCACCCTGTTGCTTTTCTCATAAGACAATCCTTCGATTTAAGCTGAATGACAATGTGACTTCGCGACAACGCGCCGTTTGGCGTGCATCGTTAACGACAGGACGACAAGACGAAAGTCTGACAACGCGTCGTTTGGCTCTTTGTCGTTCCGTCGCAAGCGACAAAATGACGCACAAAAGCGTTTAAAATTAGCCACCATATACTACAGTGCAATGTTGATACACACGCATGTAAAAGATTTAACCAGCCACTTGCCTATCTTTTTGATACCCCTGCCAGCATGACATCTGCACGTGAAGTATATTAGATTATGTAATTCACAGGTAGTAAAATAACATCCTATTGCATCATCTTGAATTATTGGTGCTATAAATTTCGTATGATAATAAACCAAGCCAATTTGCATAATTGTGATATTGATTTGATAAAATCCCGGATAGGCATTATTTACAAAAAGGCAAAGTATTTTGGGGACCATTATATAACTGGCATTAACATATTTTTCTCATTTTAATCACGGATATATATTACAATATAAATCTGTGTTTGAATATAATGCCGACTTTATCATCAGGGCAAAGAAACATAATATGGAAACAACTTCAATAATTACATGTGTAGGAATTTTCGTGTGATTTTCCTTTTCTTTTCTGTGTATAATTTCATGCTCCTGACTTTCTTATATATATACACATTGTACAAGCCCTCAGTGCGTGTGCGTGGCTGGCACAGCTAGTACATTGGCAGATGAATGAAGTGTACGGCAAGTATGCTGCCGGTGTCCTGACTAAAGCCGAGGGGAATGGCTTTGCAAAGTAGACAGGGAAGACGAGGAAAGTGTATTATAGTGCGTGAGCCCCTTGCACAGAGAGTGACGGCTTGAACCTTGCACCAATAGCCCTTTCAAGTGCTACCATCTTTTTATATTTTTTCAGGTTACTGTACATTTAGGTTCTCATTGGCCGCCGTACAATTACCTACTTTTGGCTCAAATTTCATATCTATGGCTCATACATCATAACTGGTGACATGTCCGGTGTCCGCACTCGACAGTGAAAGCTACCTTTTGTGTTTTTAAGGGCGGATGGACCCAAATGGAGACTACAGACAGAAAATCATATGCCATGACCATTATATGGGTGACGTATCTCGTGTATAATAAAGGGAAATATATCCAATTAACGCTTTTCAAGCACACTAACCGAAAATGTTTCTTTCAAGTAATGATTACATAAAAACATTTAAACCCAAAAGAAAGACAAATGAATAAATGTCGTGAATTTTATTGATAATTTATGCGTTTAATTGCTTTTGACGAAGGTTTATTTCGATTTTTAAATCTTAATGACCCTCATTTTATTTCTCAACACTTTTTTTTTCTTTTTTTTTTCGGTGTAATTGACAATTCCTGCCCTATTGGGAAGTCTCAAGCGGAGCCTTTCGGTAATGGTAATGTGGCCAGAATAGAGAATAATAATAATACATGTGTAATAATAATAATACATGTGTAATAATAATAATAATAATAATAATAATAATGATAATAATAATAATAACAACAACAACAACAACATCATCATCATCATCATCATCATCATCATAATAATAATAAAGTCTTTATTTATTGAGCCTACTCAGTTGCAACAAAGGCAATCTACCATGTGTGCCTCATAAAAAGTAATCAATAAAAATAAGAATAATATGAATAAGAATAAATAAGAATCCCTATAGAACGCACAATACGTCAAAATTGAAATTTTGATAGGTACAAAACTCTGAAACCGCAATTATACCAGAACTTGACAAATAATTGATCCGCCATAATTGGATGTTTATACTGGCTCGAACTCTACTCCTTTATTATATATTTTAGTATTTCTTTGGGATGGTTGTCAAACAAGCTAATGTATCAACACTGTGCTATACTTCATATGCCATTCAGACGGTTAAATCTGCACAGAGACATAGATAACATCTGCATCTCTGATCTCAGACAAATAGCAATAGTTGTTCTACAAATTAACAAACTGTTTTGTAAACATCTTAGGTGATTTCACCTAAACACTTCAAAATATCTTATTTGTCTAAAAAATTCTTATGAAAGGAGACATAGAGAATACTATGCTAGTGTCTGATATTACACAATTTATCAAGCGAGGTAAAGAAAAAACAAGGAGGAGGCTCTGCTGAGCCCTTTATAATTATTTCGTGCCGAGCTTGACCAGACACTTGCTTGGTATTCTTATTATAATGTTTGCAATTTTGATGTGCGCTTCTTTTCATCAAATTCTTTTCGTTCAAATGAAACAAAACCTAGTCAAGAAACTGTCGAGTTCATGCCGCGCACAGTAATATGTCAAGGATCGTACCTATAATTGATAGTCCCAAATGTTTTTTTTGTCATATGTAAGTGAGACTTTAACATTCAAAACTTCAATTCGATTCATAGTTTTATCAGTTTAATATTTTCAAACTTGTATGAGGCAAAACATTCCATTCTCTCCATTTTATTTCAGTATGTATTGCTGAGGTTTCCGATAAAGCATAAGGTGACTGATAAAGGCATGCACAAAATAAATGTAATGACTTGATGAAATAACAACAACAACATCAAAGACAAAGATTATGTAATAAAGTTTTTAGTTGCAATAATTTTGGCGGCTGGTCCCGGCTAGAACTCAGATTTATCTCCTTTCTATGGAATGCCGGTAGGGACATGCCAATTTGCTTATTTGCCAATTGCTGAATTGCTTATTTGCTAATTGCCGATTTGCTTATTTGCCAATGGCTGATAGGCTTAATGACAAATTTGCTTATTTGCCAATTGCTGAATTGCTAATTTGCTTATTTGTTAACCGCTGGTTTACGTATTTGCTTATTTGCCTATTGCTAATTTGCTTTCTTGCAATAGAAAAAGTTTACACTGTGCCGGAAGTATATGGAACATCTGACTACAGACAACCAGTTGAGTCAGATCTGTTAACTTTCACCAACAGTATTCTTGTAAATTCAGTGTTTTTCCAAGAATACTGTTGGTCAATGAATTTAATTGCAGTGATGCCTACGCAGATATATGTCTACAACTGATGGCTGACATGTCCTTGAGAACACAGACGCTTGGGGTCAGATCCCGTACCCCAACGTGATACGTGCCCCTGTTAACACTCTATTTAAAATATTTTGATATCTAAACACGAATTGGACATCGTTAAAACTGATTTTCAAGCAATTTTTACATATACCGGTATGAAAAAATACCATATACCACCAAGTCTCAATAAAGTACTTAATGGTTTTATCGTTGTAACAAATGTCCAATTTGTATTTAAATAAATATTAAAATAGTTTTGATAATTATAGTGTTTACAGACGCGTATCACGTTAGGGGCAGGATCTGACCCGCCAGCATCTGTGCTTGAGAATGCCTTATAATGTGTTGCAGCTATAGATCTGTTTGTGCAGCTTAAGTCAGAGATTGGTGGCATAATAAACACTTGATTAGTCATATATAAGTGAAAAATATTGGTTAAAGATTGAAAATAAAAGAACTTGAAAACAAAACTATTTATTATTTTATGGCATATAAAATGTCGTTATTCTCAGCAGATTTGTCACAGAGGGCCTCATTTTAGTGGTACGAACACATAGTATCACGAATGATACATTTGGTGCATGCTTAACACGGGTGTTTGTCTTTGCACTTAAGCAATAGGCTTCGTTTTTAGCTCTGTAAGATTTTGAGATCAATTATGTCAGTGTGTGCATCAACATTTTGCTTTGGTTCAATGGTTTTGAAATTTGGTCACACTTTTCCATTTTTTCATATTGTACATTTTACATGCTATCAGGTGACCATGACCATGATCATGACCTAGGGTATAATGGACAAAGCCTCTTTGAATATTGTGTATGCATGCTGCCTATTTAACGCTTATGTGAAGTAACAGTTAGATATACGCAATAGTAACAGAGATATGACAGAAAAACAAAGGTTTCTCAGTACAATACATTGGTGACCTTGACATTCAGTATATAACGGGCACAGCTTCTTCATGTACTTTGTATGCATGCTTGTAACTCAAAGTTTATGCAAAGTTGCAGTAAGATGCATGAATCAGCAAAAGTAACAGAGATATGACAGAAAAACAAGTTACTAAGAATAGCATCCCTATTCTCTGAATAGTGGAGCTAAAACGGAAACTCAAGATAATTAAAAAAAACAACTACTTTCTGAAACTGAATTTATTTTTTTCGAAATTGATTAAAATGTATCCATCTGTTTTTCTACCTATATTCTAGGTAATGATGGATTGATCATAATTGTCACAACAAAACCTTATAAACATAATATTAACATGATATAGGTTCATGAGCTTGAAATAAAGTCTACAAAGACTTGTTATTTTATATCAAACAAGAACTTAGCGAGTCGGACGTGTCGCCTGACAATAGCATAAAAAATTATGTATGCATGTATAAGCAAATAAGCAATTAGCAAATAAGCAAATTGGCAAATAAGCATATTGGCAAATAAGCAAATTGGCAAATCAGCAATTAGCAAATAAGCAATTAAGTAGTTGGCAAATAAGCAAAGTGGCATGTCCCTACCGGCATTCCATACCTTTCTGTAATAATACTTTTAAAACATATTGTTCTTCTGTGTATCATACAAGTGAAATCAGTAACCGTGACTTCAAATGATATAAAAATGCAACGTTCTCATATTAAAAACGAATGACTGATATAAATTACGGGCACATTAATATTAATATTGTTTTTATAACGTACGAAGAGCAAAAATTAATTTTATAAAGTATAAGTAATGGTTTTGGAGCATGTTAGATGCCTGTTACCTGCAAACAGAAACGCAAAATGTATAATAATTTGCCATAAAGGTAACACATGAACATATAATGAACATTTACATTTTGAACATTTACACAATGCGATATTAGTATAAAAAAGATAATCAAGATAACTGTAAATAAAGCTTACTCGAGAATTATAATATATCATATTATGATAGATCTACTACGAATTTTGAGTGTTTATAATTCTTGATATCAACTCGGAATGAATGCATATTGATTTGAGTTATTACTCTGGCAACTGGGTACAGTGAAATAAAGTTGTCTCGCTCTGTCAATCATAATCCGGCTCTACCCATTTAAAAGACCTCACAGATCTCTCGTCGGCGTAAACGTCATCATAATCTGTTTTACTTTCATTATCAAAAGTTTCCGATTTTAACTTTCGTCTCCAATAAATTATATCACTATATTCATTAAATATATCATCACTTTCATCATATTCTTCACGCCAGGAGCGACCGCTTTTGCGTTTATAAGGAAGCATTAATGATCGTTGTTCATTGGTTTGCGGTATGTGATTTAAATGTTCACATAAATCATTATCTATCTCGGACTCATCACCTATGTCTGAGTATCTTCCTGATAAAGTATTTGAGTACTGAACAGCATACTTTGAGCACGTTTCATGAGAGTTTGTTGATAGCTGTTCAAAAACTTGACTTTCAGCATCAGACGTATTGTATTTTGAAGGTAAGTTTCTAAGGTCAAGGAAATTTTCTTCAGTCTCTCCTTCGCTTGGCGTATCTATGTTGCCTCCCCCTAAGTGATGTATCATGTCATCTTCGTCAACAGCATTATCTCGGTGATTTAAATGCAAAAACTGTGATAAATCAATACTACCACTCGCAACACTACCCGAAATACTACTCGCAATACTAACAGTGTCTGTAGGCATCTGACCAATCAAAATAGGATCTGAAAGTGAAGTATCATATCAATTAGAACTTTCTCTTATCATTACTTACCGCACTATCTTTTCCCTTTAAACTAAAACTAATTAAGTTGATTTAAATATAGGTTTCGTTGATCAGAATTATCGTCAAAATAATCATATAATTATTTATTCATAACCAATAATTCTTTAGTTCATAAACTGTAAAAATGATTAAATAGAATAATCCTAAAATCCAAAAGTATCTTTAAAGCTGCATGCCTCCAGATGAGGCAAAATATTTTAATAAATCAAACCTGAGAAATGTATGTACTAATATTTTATGAAAAGTAAAACGATTCAAGATTTAAGTAATAATTAACATGTTGTGTGTGATTAATGATTGATTTTTCGGTGTTTATAACCATATTTCTACTAGCTGTGTTACTGACATGAGTCGTGAGTGCTGTTTGTAATGTTTTAATTGCTTCCTTTTGCTTACTTCAATATTTCACATTCAAATGCATTGTCAAATTTTTCATTATCGTAAGCATGAATCTGGAGGCGTGCTGCTTTAAACTTAAATTGTAAGAATTTAAACCATACCGGTATGTTGTTGTTTCTTCAGAATGTGTCGTTTTCTGTCCAGGGGACACCTTAAATACCTGAATTTGTACTTTCTAGCAATTTTCCTAATACAATAGGCACAGAAAGTATGTCCACACGGTAAAATCCTTGGAACATGCTGATCCTCGTCAAAGTTGTAAGTACAAATAGCACACAATTCGTCTTCGATAAAAACGTTTTCTGGCTTACTCACATTAGAGTCCCGCTCAAACGATATGTCACGATGTAAACCTGGTATACTTTCATCATCGTCATCATCTTCGTCGTCATCTTCATAATCATCATCATCATCATCTAAATCATCTAATTCGGCAATAAAGTCAGCGAATTCAGGACGATATGGAGGAGATAATATCTCATCAATTATGTCACCAAGACCAATGTCTAAATAATCATCATTATATGAATATTCAGTGCCTGTCTCTTCTTTCATCTTTGAACATGTACAATTTCCCATTTTTTCCCCTGCAAAATGCAAAAACATACTTTTCAATCAAAATATTTTTTATTGCCTAATTTATAATTTGTTCATGTTATAAAACACGATTATCGATTTGAAATAAATCGTTTTATATGACCGGATTTTCATTTAGTACATAATGTAGATATTTCATTAATGTACTTAATAACTTTTTAAGTATACAAAAATTATCTTGAACTTTGAATTCGAATTAGAATAAACATATCAATGAATAAACGGTATATTTTACTTATTTAGCTGTTTTAAAAAGTTCTTTAGCTTACCATCTAACATAAATATCCAAACAAGTATCACTATCCCGTCATGTGTATATTTAGTTTTAAAAAATCGTAGAATAAATTTGGGGGATTGTCAAAAGCATTGACTACAATATTTACTTCCTTTTTGACGTGCTGTTTGTTATAAATTTTTACTACACAAGCTGAACAAAACATTTTAAACTGCGTATCCGTATTGAATAATACGTCGTAAATTCAAATTAATTTACATGTTTACCTATATCTATTTGTATTAGTTAACTATCATATTACACGCTTTGTAAACCGCACAAAATACAATCTTAGTTGTACATATAAACTTTTAATATAGATAATGAATGAGCGGGTTAACTAACTGTATCATACAAAATGGTTTGGAAAAAATCCACAGTTTTCAAAAGATCCGGTTTATGAGATTTTATTACCTTAATGGTCCATTTATAATTTTTCAGTTTCTTTCCGCATGATTCGTTTATTAGCCTTCATTTTCCATCCTCATGATCCTACACAAAGTGTACGGGTTAAATGTTTTGTTTTATTTCATATTTTTGTTATTGTTGTTTTTAAAATGTTTAAACTTTAAGACATTTTAACATTGTCAAATATCTTGGTCTGCAATGGACACATTTTCCATTAGTATTTCATATCTTGCAGACCTTTCATAATGGATCAATTCACATTAATGTAAGAATGTTTACAGAATAAAAAAAACTTTATGGTACATTTTGGTACTGAAGTGTATTTAAAGAAGCATGCCCCCAGGTTTATGTTAATTTTCGTGAAAATTATGAAAGCGAGTTTGAAAGTAAATTATTGTAAAGTGAACAAAGAAAGTAAACTGCATGTACAATTTACTTAAATTACCAAAAAAAAGAGGTCTCAATATGCATCGCAGACAAAGCTGCAAATGAGTTATTAATCGCACATGACATGTAAAATATTACTTGAAACTTGAATCTTTCTACTTTTCTAAAAATCTTAGCCAGTATTTCAAGTTTGTTTTTATTGAAATATGTTGGTAGTTTTCACTTCGGATCACGGCCGTAAGTCACATTGAATTTACCAGAGCACAGTTCAACCACCGCATTGTTCCTGTGCATGCTGTGGAGCAGTTATCCAGTACTAGCTGCCTTCACTTTCGCAAGGAACTGATAACTTCTGTACATACAAGAGCAGAGGTACAAAGCGAATGACCGTAGAAAGGATTTCATGATCAATCATTACGAAAGTGAACCTCGCCGTCCGGGAATCTAACCCGGGTCGCCCAATTCACAGTCCAACACTACCTATTGAGCTAACCGGACGGCGCATAATTTGGCTTATATGGAGGCATGCAGCTTTAAGTAGTGGAAAGTGAGTGAATGTATGTGTGGTGACAAAATGTCATGCACATGTATGCCAGCACTGGGCATTTCAGTAATAGTTGTGCCATTTGAAATAGAACGATATATGCAGGGTTGGAGACATTGATGATATTAATAATGTTTACCACATTAAGTAAAGACTAAATTATATCTGCTCGCTGTAATTGGGCATTTACCATATACATACCAGTAATGATTGATGATCAAGCGGATAAAACTTAATATGCAACCTTGCTATTGTAATAATGAAAAGAAAAAGGTATATACAAACGTAAACAAATACACTGTGTTCTGTACACCGATACTAAACAAGTTATCTCACATATAGCGCCAAGTTCATTATTTCTCCGCTAGATGAAAAAAAGAAGACTTTCTGGAAACACGAATTCTGCTTTTCTTTTTTATGTTTCAAAAATGTAATTTATTGTTTACATATCGAGCTAGTAAATTGTTATGCAGAAATGTGTGATATTAAAACATATTTAACTTTTTCGCCATGAAAAAATAGATATACTGGTATGTAAATAAAACATGACAATTTCGCAACGAAGTAAAGCCGCAGATAGATTCTTCTTAGTCTACAAACAAATTAAATTGCGCTCTCACCTCTAAATAAAACATTGTTTTAATATTACTATCTAAACGCCCATTAAGCCTTAAATGGTAATATTTTCATTTTCTCCTAAAAGCTATTTACATTAAGAGTTTTTTTACAGTTTCTAAAAGGTTACTCAATGACCAATAGCTGAGTAATCTTTTGCAGTTTGAAATACTTACAGATAGAATGATTGCGTATTTTGTATGGAAGTCAAAATTCTATTCTGTTTACATTTTGCAACATCTTCTTGAGGTGACAACCGTCTTATATGTTCTAAATCCACAAACATACATTTGCCCTTTCTACAGAAAAAATATTCAGTTCAAAGGCTTAATGTGCCTTTTTACCAATTATGTACATACGTGCCTGGACATCAGATGGGCATCTATTACACGCTGCAAAAACACTATCAATAATACTGTTTATCCATATTTTGAAGATTTCATTTCAATAAAAATACACATCACCGATTCAAATACTTTATTAACTTCCTGTTTAAATCCGTAAAGACTAAAGCAGATACTGTACATAATGATTTTAAAATACTAGGTACTGATGTATCATTGCGGAACCCAAGGTATATTCCGTATTAATACTGGTATACGATACCGAGGATGGGTATATGTATACTTTAATCTGTTGAAGTTACTCTATTTACAAGTCATCGGATCAGAACTCAACCAATAAAATGCATTGATATATAAAATCAATATCTGCAGACTAAAATAAATACGTGACACGATAATGAAAATATGAATGTAAATATGCTTTATTGACAAGAGGAGGGTCGACTCGAATTGCGTCCCTTGTTTAGCATACTTAATCCTAATTCATGTAGAATAACAAGATTTTTTTTGTTGCAGATCAAACGTAAAATACTAGCAGTGTTTGGTACAGAAATTATACACACCTTCTAGCTGTAATAATTATACTCCTACCTAAAACATCATCTGAGATATACATCGGAGTATAAACAAGATGTAAAAAATACCCCAAACTATCATACACATGGCATTTACTTGACCAGTGCTTTTTACTTGCATTGAAATATCATTTATGTACTTTTAAAAAAAGATTATTCATAAACCCAACCGTATTTTTTTTCTTTAACTTTAACTAATTTCAGTTGCCTGTCTGGTCCGAAATGTTCGTGGTAAAAAATGTCCCATTACTCATCCTTTCCATAATGAAATATCAGAAATAAGTAATTGAAAGAGCACCGAAACACGAGGCTATCTGATTTGTACGAGGGGGCGTAGCCCCCGAGTATAAATCAGATTGCCGAGTGTTTTTGGTGTTCTTTCTCTTTTGTATCATAGTCAAACATGACAGCACGTTAGGTGTTGTCATAATAGGAAACCCCAGAGAAAATTAACCAATAAACGAGCATTTGAATATGATAGTTCTGCCCCTTTCCCTTCCGTCACAATAAGTAAACCCCAGCAAAAATGAACCAATCAACGGGCATTATCTGGAGTGCGGGTAACTGATACCTGCACTCCAGTTACCGCACTGTGCATGTATATGTATACGATTTAACTCTGACACTTTTTCAACAGAAAGGTCCCCAAACTATGATACAATTAAATGATACAGGCTGTACGTTTAGAATTTATTCGCTTTGATAGATTTTGATATTTTTTTTACATTAAGTAGGGGGTGATGCAGGAGAAGGGGGTGGGGTTTTGGGTCGTAGAAATAATTTTTATTTTAATACTTATTTATTTACTTTATAACAACATCACTGCTTTGAGAAAGATAAGTCATCTCCAAGAGACAAAAGTCCATTGCATTTCTAGACCGAAGCTTTCTGACAAATTGTGTAAACATCTCAATAAAAATAGAATATAACAAATTCTTTATACTGCAATCATGAGAGCTGATTTGCTTATGGCAATTTGCAAGAGGACAGTCATCTTTCAAGATTCATGTAGAAAGGTTTGCTATCATGTGTAATTGTAGAAAAACAATGAATACTGTACAAAATATCGCTAAGCTCTCATTGGGTAATATTTGAAATATAAAATTTGTTGCGTGTGTGGTTCAAAACTGATGCATCATTCTTAATAAATACATAAACCTTGATATCATTTAGTATTAGACATTACAACAAACCATATTAGACATAACAACAAACCATATTAAACATAACAACAAACCACGAAAGAATTATACATGGAAGTTGTTGGCAAATGTGAGATATATGATCCAATATTACATACATTTGATCCGCGCCACGACAAAACCAACATAGTGCGTTTGCGACCAGCATGGATCCAGACCATTATGTTGGTTTTGTCGTGACGCGGCTCATTTATATAGCATCGCATATATATTGTCATTCTAAATCACCCCGAACTTTATCAACATATTTTTATTCAAGCAGAATTTTAAAGAAAATCCAAATGATACATTTCTATTGTTTTTATCAATATTTGAAATAATAATGGAAAATGTGCCATTTGAAGATCTATCCACTTCAAACAACAAATAACAAGTAGGCAATTGATGAATATTCGTATATAAAGCTTTGTTTTCACTTGTTAAAATATTGTCTCCTTTTAAAAAGGACATTATTAGATTTTTTAAACTTTTTTTTTAAAGTTACATTTAATAAATTTCATAAAAAACTAAATAGCGACATTTCATTAATAAATTGGGTTTTTAACGACTCCAGGTCTTATTTTGGTGTCCGAACAACCAAAATGAGTTTAATTAGCATAAAAATAGGTAACCTCATTGTGGCGAAATGGGAAGTACAATTTCTGTTTGCATGAGAAACTCCGCCTTCGGATCATCCGTACATCAATATTAAATCAACAAACATGACTATAAGTGGCAGTCCTAATTTAACGGTATATTTCCGCATTGTTTTCATACAAATTTAATCTCTTTACGAGATGATTACTTTTACTGAACCCCTGGTTTAGTGCACCGTGAAGCTTAAACGGTAAAAGTGTGTTTGCACAAGAAAATATCACATTTGCTGTGTTACGGATAGCAACTATAAAACTGTGACGTAGCGCATACACGAGCTCATTATAGTCTTCATTTGCATGTTAAAATTCGTATACGAACTTTAGTGTTACCGTGGGGTTTCCCGTTTAAAATCCTAATTTATGAACAATATTTGATGAGATTTAGTTTAAACAATATTTTATTTATAAGTATTACATTTACATGATAATTAACAAATAATAAATAGTACGGATTGAGTAGTAAGCTTGAAAGCTTTTTTAAAAACTCTTTCCGTAATCACTATCTCAAACAGTATGTAAAATGGTAACAATTGTATGCATTTTTGAGTTAAATATACATAACATTTTCACTATAAACTTGCTTCTTTACATGTACAGGAAAGTTAGCAATTTACACTCTGGTTTTCCTAATCGAAACGACCTTAATAATAGAATATTGACATAAAAATGTGAAAGAAAACCCTATAGTTCTATAGCATAAATACACGTAAGTGATAAATGCACAGATTAGCACGTTTAAACTTTTCAAGAAAAATAATAGAACTTTAAAGCATGTTTTAAAAAAATTTAAAGAAAAATAAATAAATGGAAACGTTAGTTAATTGTTGAAATTGTTGGGTAATAGATGGTAGGAAATAAGAGACAGATTTGAGAGAAAGAAAAAGAAAGACAACAGGAATGGTCACTAAAATACTATGGAGTTGATGGAACGAGTTTACAATATACTTTTGAGAAGATATTATGCATCTAAATCTCTATTTCATATTAGTCGAAAAAATAACTTTCTATTTACATTTCAAAACGTTTTGTTCTGTGTAAATATGAGTGTATATGAAGGACTATTGCTTCATTTAAATCGTCAGCAATTGAATTATCACCATAGAGTAAAACGTTAAGTGTGACAGTTGTTATTTCACTTAAATTATTAAGGAGGACATTTCGTTCATCTTGGTACCTTGGACACGAGAAGAAATAATGAGATTGTGTTTTCTATGTCACCACATTCACATAGGGGACTTTCTATTATGTTTTTTGAAAACAAATGTTCTTTGAGAGAACTACAATGTGTTTCTAAGTCGTGTGTGTATAATCTGGTATTTTCTCTCACCTACATAATAATGAGAAGGCACACTTTGAAACATCTTCATTAAGTCTACTTTTGAAAATTGAAATGGATGGTGAATTTCTGTAATTAACAGGAAGATTGTTCCAGTATTTAATTGATGATGGCAAAAATGAATGAGAATAAAGTTGTGTGTGACAAAATATATTTCTAGTGTTGTCTGCATTTCGTAAATTATAATCTGAAGATTCTCCTACTGTATCGGGAACTAATGAAGAGAGGTAATGAGGAGAAAGATTATTGAACATTTTATAAAGAAGTATTTGTTTGTGTTTGTAGCGTCTTACTTTAAGGGGTTGGATGCAAGTATCTTCATAAAGATTAGAGATAGAAACTAGTTTTGTTGTACCGGTTATTATTTCTGCAGGCTTCAAGTTGTATTTTTTTCAAGTTCAAAATTCATCTTGTTGAGTTATGTTGTTCCCAAACAACATCCGAGTATTCCAGAAGGGGCCGAATGAAAGAGAGATATATATTTTCAAGTGACTTACGATCAGAATGAATTTCAAAGAATCTCATTATATAAATTCTTTTGCCAGGCTTTTTTTGGGTAATATTTTGTATGTGAGAATGCCAATTTCCATCATTAGAAAATGTTACTCCAAGATGTTTGTGTGAGGTCACTTCATTTATTTGCACTCCGTTCATTGTCAATGGGGGGATGAATTGGTTTGTTTACTTTACGAGAGATAATTACTGATTCCGTTTTACTTGGATTGAAGTCTACAAGCCAGCCATTTGCCCATTCTGTAATTTTTTTCAGATCAGAATTAAGAGTCACCGCAGCATGAAGTGGATTATCAACAATGAATATATAAACTTGTATCGTCTGCAAAGAGTCTGATATATGAGTTAATGTCAAGAACAATGTCATTTATATAGATTAAAAAGAGAAGAGGGCCTAGAATGGACCCTTGAGGAACTCCGGCTGAAAATAAAAACGGTTTGAGAGGGAACCGCCTGGAAGAACCACCTTTTTGTTTTTTTTTCTATCACTGAGATAAGTCACTAAACCAGTTTAAAAGCCCACCATTTATTCCAGCAGACTGAAGCTTGAAAATGAGACCTTTATGCCAGACACGAATCAAAGGCTTTTTGAAATATCGCAAAAAGACAGCTCTCACTTCTTTTCCATCATCAAGGGCTTTGCAAAAATGTATTATATATATAGAAACAAGTTGATTTTGTTTGTTGAGTCATTGGGAACAAACCCAGATTGTAATGAAGTTATTGTGTTTATTAGCAACAAAGAAAATTGAATATATGCTTATGTATAATTTTTTCTAAAGATTTGCTGATCGTGCTAAGAAGTGATATAGGTCTGTAATTAGAAAACAATTGAACGGGTCACCTTTCTCTGTAGACTGCACATACATTGGCAAGCTTCCATTGTGAAAGGGACTTTACAAGCTGTTAATGATTTTCCTGAAAAGATGACAGAGAGGTACAGAGAGTTCTTTTCTGACAATTCCTTTAGTATCCTGTTGTTATTATTATCAGGTCCTGATGCTTTACCAACATTGAGAGTTTTAAGAGTATCACGTAACCTCATCATAAGTTATATTTATTGTGTCAAGTTTATTAATATTTTGATGTACATGAAAGTTTGGTAAAGACTTATTTTTATCATCAAGTGAGGATTGTGATTGGAAAAATTGGTTAAGTAAATTTGCTTTTTTCAGTGTCAGAAGTCAATATGGTGCCATTATCATTCAAAATCTTAATTTTACTATTTACTGTTGGTTTTAATGAATTATTTGAGAATTTTCCAGTAATCTGTTGTTTTTAAATTTTCTCCTTTTATTTTTTCTGATAATTGTTTAGTATAATCTGTTTTTGCATTTCTAAGTAGGTGAGTTGTTTTGTTTCTTAATGTTTTGTATTTGTTCCAGTGTTCAATATTATTTGATTTTTTAGCTCTGTCATATGCCCTTTTTCTTTTCCGTATATATTTTCTTATTTCATTATGCATTCCAAGGGAGGGTCTGTTTGTCTTATAGTAACTATTTTGTTTGGAATGTGTTTTTTTGATAATGTAATTAAGGTTTCAGTAATATTACTAGCATAAGTATCGATATCGTCACTTTCAAGGGATTCCCAGTTATATGAAGCCGCTTCACGTCGCATATTATTAAAGTTGCATTGATCATATTTCCAGATAAGACGTTTTAAATGATTTAGCATGTGACTTTTGACAGTTAAGTAAGCAATATACTGGACACATGATATCTTAATTGTTGGTCAAGAAATGGATCACCTACACCCGAAGCATGGACACTACCCGAAAAAGAAACAAGGAAAACGTCAATCAGAGAGGAAGATGATTCTGTGAAAATGCGTTGGTTCGTTTATTATTTGTGTCATGTTGTATTGATTTGCTATATCAAGTAGTTTCTTGGATGATGCTGTTTTTTTAAGATATCTAAGTTGAGATCACCGGTGATTATTATATTCTTAATGCTAGTATCAAAGGCAAGGTCAATTGATCGTTCAATATTTGGAGAGAACATATGCAGGAGAATTTGGAGGGCGATAGAAGGTGCCAACAAGAAATTTTCGAATGATGAATCGTTAACTCTATCCAAATACATTCAATACCACTAATCTCGAGATCTTGTCTTCTTACGGCTGGAATGCTATTTTTTAACGTATACTAAAATGCCACCATGGTTAATCAGCAACTCTGTCCTTTCTAAATGGAGTAGAAAAAATTTTTCAAAAAAAGAGATCGATTCCGAGTCTATATTGCTGTTAAGCCATGTTTCTGTGACAGAAATTATATCAAAATGTTGTAGTTCTCCTTGTACGATATCTTTCTTTGAGAAGAAACTCTGGACATTATAATGGACAATTGATAAGGAGTTTATTGAAACTCTCTAAGATTTCGTTTACCGTTGAAGAGGGAAGATGTATAATTAAAAGAATCTGAGCTATTTATATCGGGACCAGGATTTTTGTGAATATCGCCTGCTCTATATAGAAGAAAATAAACCCAGAGTTTGATGAGATTTACAACAATACTATTAAACAGGTTAATGAAACTGTAGAATGTTTGATTTTTAGGCCGACGGCAAAATATTTTTACATATTTATTTAATGTAACTTTAAGAAAAATATACAAATATGCTATATACGAGTATTATATCTAAGTCTACTGAATTTGTGTAATGGATATGCACAGCTTTGAATTTCGAAAAATAATTTCAATTTTATAGGTTTTTTTTTATATCAGCATACAAATATGAGCTACTAACAAAATAGAACCTTGTTAAACTATGTACAAGTGGGAAAGGCTTATCACTTACGGTTCCGGCAAATGTTTAGTCGCAACTCCGTAAAACTTCGGCCAAGGACTTTGACGATATTTTGATCTGACCTACGCTATAAATTTTTTAAATAAAGTATTTAATTGTTGGAATTTGTTGAGTTAGTTTATATCGTTTAATCATATTTGCTAACTATTATGGCTTTATTAGAACCGGAAGTACACATGAAATACTTGTTGACGATATTTCGGATTTGTTGCAACGGATATTCTAAAATTAATATGATTGTTAGACATAATTTCAAATCAGAATATTGCCAAACTACACTGTACTGTCCTTGATGTTCGATAAATATGTTCATTACTCATTGCACTGTAAAGGTAATCAAAAGTCACATGATGAAGCTACTTTCAATCTATATTATTTCCGACATAACTGTTTGTAATCATCGAGGTATTCCGAACAGATACAGCTCATATCGTTTTAAAATAAACATGAATTTAATACAACAAAAATGCCATTATAGCATATCACATATATCTGTAGTGTTAAAATTGTATTCACTTTGTTTACTAAATTTGATTGTTTATAGTTGACAGCAAATAAAACACATGTGAAAATTAATATTATTGTCATGCTGCCTTTTAAGTGTTTTAAATAACGTAATATGATATACTTAGTACATGCAAACGTTATAATACCAGTCTTGAGATAGTGTCAAAGGTTTAACTAAAACACGGGTATTGATAAAGTGCCCTTCAGTAATAGGATACTCCATGTACATGTAGTTAAAAGGTTTATACGTTTCAATGGAAATATATTAAACATTTTATCTCTGCAAATCAAAACCACCGTGGATTTACTTGCCCAATGCTTTTGATAGTATTTGATATTAACAATCCACACGTAATTACAAAGTGTCCTATGGGGAACGCTCTTTTTACATAAGTTACGCCTTTCATTGACTTTGCCTGCTTCAGATTTAGAATTACCATTGTTATTTTAAAAGATTTTGATTTAAAAATACAGTAGGCAGTCCTATTCCAAATTCTCTCCTGGATATAAACTTTAGAAATTGACTCACATCATACAAAGCTATCGATCATGCAACCATTTTGATAGATCAGATATTGAATTTGCATATTCAGAAATGACTGAACTTCATACGTATTAAATATCTATCGCAGGATACACAAAGAAATAATGCTTATGGCACATATCTAACAAAGATTGCTATCAACACCGTTAAAGTTATTTATTCTCATTTATATTTAAAAGTCATACCTTTTTCGCCTATACACATATAACGGGAAAATAATCATTAATACGCTTAAACTGTTTATTCCATCACTTTTTATCATTGTGTAGTAAAAGTCTGTTTCGCGGCATAAACATTGCGAAACTAGTTCCAACTCTTGCGCTATTTTTTGTCAGGCCCCTAGCGTAAAACAAAATTAACATAATCTCACTTTAACATAATGAGCTTTTTGGTTATCTGTTTCTATGTCTTTCGATTTTGAACCAGCTGACGCCCGACGGATCTTTTTATGTTCAAAACCTTCATAAGGTTGTTTATCAAATGCTTTAACAAGTTTATAAAACCCTTCTGTGTCGTTCTCATTTTCCTCCCCTTCCATATCATTGGAGTCAGTGAATACACGAAATTCGCTATCATCTTCACTTGTATATTGATCATTATCAATATCATTATCATGATCATGTGTCTCTTTGACGTTGTGCTTTAAATCTTTATCGATGTCTACACCAATCTTATTGTCTGTATTGTTATCAGCACAGACAAATGGCTTTTCTGAAATATCACTGTCATTACGTAGTAAGGTATGCACACTTAATAAAGTTTTTGTTGCGTAATAATCCTGAAGGTTGTCTGCTGGTGGTGGACGAGTATTGGCAGGTAGAATTTTTTGCTCCAAACGCAGAAGTTCCCTGGCAGACATTGGCTGAATTGCGGGCGAGAATGACCTTAGAACAGAAGTTGGAGTTGGAGCTTGTAGAACACTTGAACCTCCACGTACGTCGAAATATTCACTTTGCTCATCTTTTACACTGTTTGTGTCAGAATTATCCAGAGATGAGTCACTGCTTAAAAACTGAACTTTCTTTGTCGCTTGATTTCCACTTAGTGTGTCACTTATACCAGATTTGCTGGTTAAACAGCTTTTTCTACTCCTTGCAGACGTAAGTATCCTTTTGGAATCGTCTCTAGCTTCACAAGATTTAGTTCTTTCAACTTGACCATTAATTGCTGAGCGAACTGCCTCATGTAAGTCGTGTTTACTTGTATATGATCTTACATTTGTCTGTTTACTATGAAATTCGCTTTGAATAGGCGTAAACACATTTCCATTTCTTCTACCTATTGTTGGAGAAGACGGCGATCTTAATGTCCGAGTTAGTCTCAGTCGAGCATTACTTGATGCCGATCCTTTCGTATGAGGCTGTTTTTCTGAATCATGAATTAATTTTCCAGAGACATCAGGTGCTTGATTGATACCATTGTTAATTGTCATTCCTCCATATCCGAATCCACCAGGTAAATGGTTTATTCTTGTATACATGGAATCCGGGGTTTGCTTGCGCAAACTTTGTGATAATGGTCGGTCTTTGAAAATTAATGGCTGCTTTTGAAGCGAGGAAGTTGCAGTTGCTGATAAACTATTACTCGTCTTTGTTGGGAACAACACAGGCAAGGACTTTGTTCGAATATATGGTATTTTTGTTTGAGTGAATGGTGGAATTGCGCTCTTCGAGTCATCAAAAACTGACCTTTCTTCGTCATTTGCACCCGTCTTTGTATCTTGTATGTCTATGGCATCGCATTTAGGAAGGTCATAAACTTCACGAGGTGCTGATTTCTTGACACAGCCGAGGCGACGAACGCTTGAGGCTATTCGCAATTTATATTCATTTTGAACTTGAATATGTTTATTTTCAGATCTTTTGTTTTTCAGATGATCTTGAAAGTTAATGTCAAGTGTCCTTGGTTTATTTGGAAGACTTTTGATAAATTCTTTTGCAGACGACACCCTTTTTTTGACAACTCCTTTCCTTTGTCCTTTCAGATCAAACGAAACAGGTTCGTCGTAAAACCGTATATGCGAATTTGTTCTTACTTCAAGATCAGCCGAATGTTTGTAATACACTGGCTTTCTTTGAACTATCTCGTCTGGCATGTTAAATATCCTCTGTTTTGCTTGCGGGATTGAAACTGTCTTTTCATGCGGAATCATTACATTTGGAATAACAGTAATGGTACTACGTGCAGTTGCACCGGATGCTTGACGCGGGGCAGTATATCTGTGCAAATTTTCATTTACTGCAGCGACGATATTAATGAGAGTTGCGTGCTGTATTGTTTCTTTAATATCCTTTTTAAGTGTTTTATTTCCTTTTAAGCTGCTTGGTCGCGGTTTCCGCGATGGAAAATACGAATTAACGGCGTAATTCATCCGATATGTGGCAGACACACCCGGACCTGGTCGTCCGTAGTATTGAACTACACTCATGTTTATAAATTCTCAGTCAATTCTGCACTTCCTCTTGTCCCCCAAAAAGTGTTGTATTCTTAATGATTTATGATCCTCTTTCCTATACAACAATGAAATGCCCCTTTTATTCTTGTCTCTCTCTATTTGACAAATCGATGGATATCATTTTAACATGTCCTTTAATGAGGGAATATATTCTAATTGATCATCGAAGTCTGACAAATTTTATCTTCCATATATGTGTCTCATCGACATGATTTATTCATACTTTCCTTTCTCTTATGGTAAACTCTTTGTAGAGGTAGTGCCAAGTCGATTTCCCCTAAAAAGAAATTAAGTCATAAAGACACGAAAAACGAATCTTTTTTTAACTATAAAATGTAAGTTCCTATCTGAAATGTACACTATATGTCACTTTATTACTTTTCTGAATCACGTTTTCCAGTTTAATGTGCTTATAAAATTCTGCACTAATCTATAAAACAAAGGATTAAATATTTCCGAATGTTATGGCATATATAGATAGAAAGGTAGATCACAATAAAATTGAGCAAATTAAACATTTTTCTTATGATTTTATTTTGGATTTCTCTTCAACAAACTGATGAATGGTACTTCATTAAGAAAGGTACACACTTAGATATAACAAAATATCAATTTCATTGTGTGAAGTGAAATTACTACTTTTTAAAGGTACATTAAACGCAAATATACAACTTAAAAACCTACTGATGCATTATTCTGATTTCTAATGAAAAACTTAGCAAATATTTGATCGTATTTATTATGATATTGGATTTTTTTCACTGGGTCAGTTTTAGTAAAAACTGAAATGATTAAGTAAGTCTTAAAACCAGTGAATGAAAAATACATTCGTTCAAAAAATAAATTAAGATATATATTGATCAGTTGAATTCTTTCAAGACAAGATAAGAAATAAAAAAAATAACTTACCAAATGCTTTGTGATTAATGCCTCGAATAAAAAAGATTTCTCCTTAGTTTCGTCTTTTTGAAATACGTTTTTTTAACAATCACAAAAATGTCTTTAAGAAAGGCATTGGGTTACAACTTTCTATTCGTGTCTAATGAAGTAAATTTGTTTTGTTTTATCTAGAGTTATTTGCGATAACACGTTTAAAGGTCGGTTAATTGTATTTTAACTAAATTATCGATTTACGACCGACGTAAAAGCTTTTATTCAACTTGTTTGAAATAGAAAAATAAATGTTGTCTTTTTGACATTATAGAAATTAAATTTTTTTCTAACCATGAAATTTATAAGCACAAAGTAGATATTTAATTGATTTTAAAATATTTAGCACTTTGTAGTTGGCAATAAACTTAGATTTGCAAAATTTGAACATTTATTTCTTTCAGTTATTAATATTTGATCCATGTACTTCATTTCAGCTGTATAAGAATCGTTTTTGAAATAACGTGCTGGATTTGTTTTATTAATCTTTTAATCCACTTTAATAGAACATATAGGCAGTAAGGGATGGGGGGAGGTTGTAAAATATTTCATACATGTGCTAAATATATAATAGACAAAGGGTTAAGCATTGCCTGAACGTGTTAAATACAGAACATAAACATAACTTGCACGTGTTAGATATATAACAATAAAATTTAATACATTACTCAATATCGAACAGATGCAGAGTAACACATTGTCTGCTCGAACTAAATAAAGAACAGTTACGTGTTACATATAGAACAGCAACGTGTTAGATATAGAACAGCAACGTGTTAGATATAGAACAGCAACGTGTTAGATATAGAACAGCAACGTGTTAGATATAGAACAGCAACGTGTTAGATATAGAACAGCAACGTGTTAGATATAGAACATCAACGTGTTAGACATAGAACAGCAAAGTGTTAGATATAGAACATCAACGTGTTAGATATAGAACATCAACGTGTTAGATATGGAACAGCAACGTGTAAGATATAGAACAGCAACGTGTTAGATATAGAACAGCAACGTGTTAGATATAGAACAGCAACGTGTTAGATATGAACAGCAACGTGTTAGATATGGAACATCAACGTGTTAGATATAGAACAGCAACGTGTTAGATATAGAACATCAACGTGCTAGATATAGAACAGCAACGTGTTAGATATAGAACAGCAACGTGTTAGATATAGAACAGCAACGTGTTAGATATAGAACAGCAACGTGTTACATATAGAACATCAACGTATTAGATATGGAACATCAACGTGTTAGATATAGAACAGCAACGTGTTAGATATAGAACATCAACGTGCTAGATATAGAACATCAACGTGTTAGATTATTGAACAGCAACGTGTTATATATGGAACAGCAACGTGTAAGATATAAAACAGCAACGTGTTAGATATAGAACATCAACGTGTTAGATATAAAACAGCAACGTGTTAGATATAGAACAGCAACCTTGCCTGCACGTGTGGTTATATAAAAGATACAGCATTGTCAACCTGAACGTGTAAGATTAAGAAAATATACATGATAATATACAATGGATGCATGTGTAAGATAAAGAAAATATACTGATAATTCAATGGTTGCACGTGTAAGATAAAGAAATTATACATGATAATATGTTGGCTGCATGTGAATGATAAAGAAAATATACATGATAATATATTGAATACACGTGTAAGATAAAGAAAATATACATGATAATACAATGGTTGCACGTGTAAGATAAAGAAAATATACATGATAATACAATGGATGCATGTGTAAGATAAAGAAAATATGCATGATAATATATTGAATACATGTGTAAGATAAAGAAAATGTACATGATAATTCAATGGTTGCACGTGTAAGATAAAGAAAATATACATGATGATATGTTGGCTGCACGTGTATGATAAAGAAAATATACATGATAATAAAATGGTTGCACGTGTAAGATAAAGAAAATATACATGATAATAAAATGGTTGCACGTGTAAGATAAAGAAAATATACATGATAATATGTTGGTTGCACGTGTATGATAAAGAAAATATACATGATAATATATTGAATACACGTGTAAGATAAAGAAAATATACATGATAATACAATGGTTGCACGTGTAAGATAAAGAAACTATACATGATAATTATTATGTTGGCTGCATAGTTATGATAAAGAACAAATACAACTTAGTGTATTGTCCGCCCATGGTGAATTTAGTCCTGATACAGGACCAAACTTTTCTACCTGTGTATCTACTTTCACGTGGTAAAACAGTGCATGCACGTTTTATATAAGTGATAGATATAGGGTTATACATTTCCTACACGGGTTACATACAAAACTTGCACGTGGTAAAACATTGCCTGCATGTGTTGGATATAGAAGAGAAACAGGATAGTACATTGCAAATAATAATACGTAAACTAAGTCACGTGACTAAACACAGTATTTCCTATAGGTGATGACGAATAGCTGTTAGTTTGGGAGTTTATTCCAAGCAATAATAGTCATCGGTACATGCCATGCATGTCTTTGAAAATGCAAATGCTCATAATGTCGATATTATGTTATTATTTTTAAGTTATCATTAAATCATTTTTATCATGTCAATCAATAGGAATAAATTTTAGTTATCTTTTAAAATAATGTCTTGAAGTTATTGCTAATTAATAACTAAAAAAATCTCTAATGAAAGTTTAAAACGGCAAAATTGAAAATGTTGCAGGCTCGGTTATATTGAGCATATACATGGACGATACTCTCAAGAGCAAACTTCTGTCCAAACACCTAGCACCGGCTTAAGCAGAGTTCAACATTTAAACATGAAAAAGTTTAATATTTTGGATTAAGAAACATCCAAGTCATAGAAAGCGTGTACCCTAAACTAGAAAACAATGGGCGGAAATAAACAAAATGGAATTTGAAAAGGGATCAGGTTATGAAGCCTACATATCACATTTCACATATCAGATGTCAAAAGAAAATTTAAAAATTAGACAACATATCATAATCATATTTTCAAGCAGGAATATTGGAACCATCCTACTTGAAGATGCCAAATGGTTAGAACTAAAATTACCAAAACACACACAAAAATGGTGTTCTGAACGATCTATAAGGGTTGGAAATATATCATATCTGTTCAGCTAACAATAGCAGACGATAGATTATTTCAATTTGTTAGTTTAAACAATATTTCATTTATAATCCATACATTTACATGATAAAGTACATAAAATAAAATTTACGGATTGAGTAGGACGCTTGTAAAGCGTTTTTGAAACTTCCACCGTTTTATTTTTTTATATCTTAGGGTTGCAACTTATCATAATAATGTTTTATATTCAATTATTTGTTTCATAGGATAGTGGTCTTAAAGAAAAACATATAAGTATGTATGATGTGTATTCTGTGCAATAATGCATTAGATAAGATATTCACGAACTAGCGTTGTGTGCCGATAATAGAAGAAATTGCATGTCACACATATTTCAATATCTAATTAAAATCCAGTTCTGGTGACGACCCATTTAAATATGTGTTTACTCGATTTCTAATTTTATTAAAGGGAAGTAACATTTGTGAATTAATAAGTTATAATTCTTTCTATGTTGAAAACCTCATTTAACAATGGCAGCGGTTTTGGTGGTACATAAAACATATACGTTTTGCAAAACCTGAAATTACCCAAAATAATCATCGTTGATTCAGAATATAAACTGTCTCGTGTTGTACTGAATTTTAATCATATCAGTTTTTTTTTAGTCTCAGGCCGGCGTCCAAAATTTCCGCAATTTAAAAAAATAAGTCGTTGCGGACACAATATTTCTAAAGTATATTTAAGAAAGTTTAAATTGGCGTAATAGTAACAGTTACTTTCATAAAATAACATGATTGGCACCTGACAAACGAAAGAAAAAAATGTTTTTTTTTCCGATACTGTAAGGCATTTTTTTACTGACAGTGATCCTGGTTATGATCATGAAGAATGTATAAAATGTTTAACAAACTATCTTTTTTTTCTAAAATCTTTCTACACGACATTGTATAAGTTTTCTTAGGCGATGTATTCCAAGTATTTAGGAATATCGAAAATTGTGAAAAAATGATAAAAATGAAGGCATAGTGACTGTTAACTTGTTCACTGAATGACATTATAATGTAAATAGAAATATTTTCCCAGAAATCAGACGAGAAAGAGGTATTTATATTGGACGACACGCATTATAAAAATATATTTTATTATTGAAGAATTTAACAATAAGATTTTTGGATAAAAACATTGCAGACGATTAAAAGAATGAAAACAAATGCATTACACTGATATACTAGTATATTAAACAAAATGCAGGCAGCTATATATAAAAATGTCGTAAAGAAATCAAAGTAACCCAGAAGTGAATTGTCAAGTATGGCTTATAGTTGCTGCTATATTTTTCTGGTTCTTCAGGATCATTGATTACAGCATATTAAGTGTTGAAAATAAATTGAGTATCTAGAGCACGCGAGGGATGTTGCACTTTTATATTACCCCTCATGTACAGACTCAATCAAAACGAGTTTGCAATTTTCATGCAATTTTGTTGGGTTTTTTATGCTTCTGAGGGATCACCCGATTTCAAGATATTTATGTAAATGGTTGTTAAATCATAGCTTAAAAATTATTAAGATTATTCTACGATAATAAAGTATGCTAAGTGAGTGAAGCGAAAGCATGTGTCGACTTATAACATTTTGTTTAGTTTAAGCAGCTATATTATTAGTAATACAGATTTCTGACAGGTTATATTGCCTATATAAATGGTTATATTACAAACAACCCTTTATATACGGTCATATAACCTGTCAGGAATATCTATAACGAATTTATTATACAGCAAACTCCCTTTTTAGACAAAAAGGAGATTTTTTCATAAATTGACAGCAGCCGTGTATATTATTAGTTATAAAGATTGTTGACATGTTATATGGCCCTATATAAACGGCTTTTTGTAAATATAACCCGAGCCGCTAGGCGAGGGTTATATTGCAAACAGCCGTTTATATACGGCCATATAACCTA